AGATCTTACTGTAAGAGGTTGCAAATCTTGGGGAACTTAAAATGTGAAAACTATTTTTAATCATTTGTTTGCATGCCTTTTTTATTTTTATATTCTTTTTGTAATATCATTCGTCATGTGTACATCACAGTGAGTAAAGTGCCAAAATTACGCAAAATAACTGACAGGGAAAAAAAAAAGAGGAATTACACTTTCAGCCGTCTTCAATCATGTGGAATGAGAAAAGTTGGTTTTAAGTCATGGTAAGACAGCTAAATAGAATCAATATAATTGTTTCCCTGGCATACATGTGGACTGTGTAAACTGCAATTTTGCTTGCTGGAGCTTAAGTGTATTTTGTGGTCTACCCCCTCGGTAACACTGGGAATGCATGCATCGAGAATATCATTCTAGTACCAGGCGGGGGGTATGGGAGCTAGTACATTTATACGTACCATATTTAGGTAGACATGGCATACATTGATATTTGGATAATGGAAAGAAAATTGAGTGGTCAGTATCATGTAACTAGGTGCAGGTCAGGCTAGAAGATAATGAGAACAAAAGTCTATAGACTTGTGTGCGCAACAGTCTAAGGCAAAACAAAACAAATATTAAATTATAAAAAAAACAAAGTAACGTTAAGAAGAAGAAAAAAAGGCTTCTGAGCTTCTGTTTTGAGTCCCAGTTGTCAATGGCATGTTTGCATGCCTTTTTACCCCTTAAGGACCAAACTTCTGGAATAAAAGGGAATTATGACATGTCACACATGTCATGTGTCCTTAAGGGGTTAAAGTGTTATATGTATATATGACAAAATCCAATGCCAGCCTGAATAGTAATTTAAAGTTTTTTATTTCATGGACATGGCAAAGTGTGTTAAAAATCTTGTTAGGCACGTCCAGAAATCCTGGTACTCAAAAGGTTAAGAGAGAAGCATTCAAGATCATGTGCACGTTACTGCATTACTTATAAATTGGCTGAGATTTACACTATGTTTATACTGACATGATCTGCTGGATGAGCATTAGCATAGAGGGAATATCACCTTTTTCAGTCATCTTCACTCAAATAAATTTTACTTAGCAGGGAAGTCCTATCTATCTGTTTTTTCTCTGCAGCTCTCTGCGTATATTTCCAATAATCTTGATAACTAAAAGGCCATAGTTTTTTCATGCTATAGAAAAAAATATAAATATATTATTTATTTTAATTTGTTTTCTTGTATTATTGTTTTTTTGAATATGTACTATTCGCGGATGCATTATATGATAAACAGAATGCAAAGAGGTATTTATGCATACAGATGCAGTAAATCTTGAGAAAATAATGACCTAATGGCTTAAATTGCTAGTTCAAGCACCATGACCACTTTAGTCTGGAGTCTGTATGTGCAGTGTTTCACTATAAAATGCGGCAGGAGTTGTAACTCCACCTCCGGCATTGTTATTGGGGAGTCATCAGCCACTCGGGAGCTCTACGGGCTTGTTAATGTGAATTCTGTGCAACTTTCATTGCGCAGTATTGCATTTATTGGCTAAAACCATTCAGCTGACACACTAAGCCAATGAATGGTAATGACTACGACCTCTTCTCTGGCTCTTTAGAAGCTGGAAGCGGTTCGCTGCACCACCAGAGAGCCTTCGAGTCTGCTGTGGGCCCATGTACAGTCCACTGTATTGGCTATGATGCCAGAAGTACCTAGGCTTGGTTCCCCGGAACTCAAGTTCTGGGCTGGCTGAAGACACCCTTATGATGCTGCTGGAGGTGGAGTTACACCTCAGGCAGCTGAGGGGTTAATCTCTGGATGTGCAGCATTTCAAAGCAAAATGCTTTATATACATACCCCAGGCACCATGGTCACTTAAAATCACTGAGGTGGTCATTGTGCTTGGCGCAACCCTTTAAGTGTTAAACTTTGATATGTTAATGACCATTAGCCTTGTGTTCCAGTATCATATCCAAAAGAAACATTAATATTTACAGATTACATCACAGATTAATAATTAAGCCTAATTTTTATTTTATTTAGAATGTGATTAGCACAATCTTCTAATCAAGCCCAAACATGATTTGCGTAACCTAACCATAGGGGAAGGGATTGTGATGTCCGCTATATTGGGTCACAAATAAGGAGTGTGACATATCGATGGAATTGAAAAATGGTAACAAATTCATAGATGCAATTACTATTTCTGTGGCAAGTACATAAGAGAAGATTGAACCAAATGTTTCCATTTGGATTGAAGTTGGTCTGGATCATAAGGGGGTTGTCACTTATAGTTACTATAGGTACACCTTATCTCCACCTCTGGACGAGGCTTGGTAAACCACAGGGTATATATCCATTGATACTGAAGTGCATATTGGACTTGCTTGGGGGCCAGAATCTAATCCTGAGTGAGTCACCATCCACCTTACCAGAGACCCCCTTGGCAGAAGTTTTACTTTGAAAACCTGAGTAAGTGATTAGGACTTCTGTCATTTTATCCCTTTTGTTTTTATCTATTGTCGGTGTAACTAATTTGATTGTCATCTATATTTTTGTATGCACTGTGACTATTTTTTGCTCATAATAAATATTCCTTTATTAAGTTCTGCCTTGCAAAGAATCACATTACCTGAAGAGACTAATTAGTGTTTTGCAATTGCTTAAATATTGTGCTAAGTTGTATTTGGTGGGTTTTAACAATTAAGTTACCTGGGGGACCAAAGCACTCCATTTATAAATTGTCTTGGTGGTGGCAGTGTTAAAATTGTAATATTATTATAATTATGGTATAGTGTGGGTGGTGTTAAGAGGGATTTTATCATTATTTCCGGGCTAGTGCAGACAAATAGTGAGCTTTAACTCTTTCGCTACCACAACTACGTCACGCACACTCTTGGAGTAGGGTGCATTCGTGACTTGCGATATAGTATATGTTTGAAACCATGAATGTATTGTGATAACTAAAATATTATCCTAAGTGATTTCATCTTGTAGCAGTACAAGGAAAAAGAGAAATTTTGAGCTTACGGATCAACGCTAATTAGTAGTTAAAAGGATGAAACCAAAAAAGATTGGGAAAAAGAAACAAACATACAGCAAAACAAACTGTAACTCAACCGGCACACCGCACCTAAAGTGTATTAGTATTTGGAGATCCCCTTAATGTGCAGGATTTTATAAATGTAATCTGTATGCCTTACAGCAATGTTACAGGAATCTGAACCTCAAAAATGGGATTTATAAGAATGCTGAGAACGGGGTAAAATAAATTGCCCTTCATTTAGTCACTGTTGAAGTCCCAAGTGTGTTTCTGCTAAAATGTGCTATTAAGGAGAGAACCATTACCAATACTATTCCCATCAAATCAGACTAATCCAAGTCACAAGAGCAGTTCAGATCTGTTGGCAAGTTCCTTCTCACAAAGATAAAGCAACCTGACAATGGTTTCAGCATTTGATGGGCCTCGTCAGTGATGTGAAGATGATGTTTATATATCACAGGGAGTACGGGGTCCATGGATTACCCTTTAGGCTTAGGGAGACCCTAGCAAATGGCAAAACAGAATAGAAGGCAAAAACAGAAGATAAAAAAAAAAAAACTAAAAACAAAATAGGCAAAATCACAACAGCTTGGGCTGTCATTGTTGGTGTGAAAATTCTGATATGCAAATGGTTTAGGTTCCCACATAATGACAAAAATAAACGTGAAAACTATTGTGTTTTTCCCCATTTTCAGTATTCTCATAAATTCTTTATTTTTTTCATTTTTTGTGGGTAAGACTAGGGTCTCCCTAAGCCTAAAGAGTAATACAGATGTGGAATCCTTGCTCACCGTGCCTAGAATGGTATGAGTTGCACTACACAAATGAAGCCTTGGAATGCTAAAATAAACATTTGGGGATGCTGAATCTCTTGTGCTGAGTAGTCCTAACAGCACAGTTATATACTGCTCATGTTGATAGTATCAGATATAGATTTGTAATGATATAACAAACGTGTATTCCTGACCCGATAGTTTTAAACTAACTAGCCCCTCTTTGCCCCTCTTGTAGCTAGTAAAACTCACCTTAGACCCAGCGCAGGCTCCGTCTTGTTCCGCCTCCTTGGCTAACATCATCAGAATTGATTATCTCAGCCAATACAATGCTTTCCTAGTAGAAGCCATGTACATTTACAACATATACATCTCCAACCAACGTTTATATCAGGCTAACAGTGCGGTTCATTCTGTGACTATAGGAAAGCATTGGATTGGCTGAGATTGTTAATTCTGATGATCTCAGCCAAGGAGGCAGGCCGGGGCGGAGCCAAACATTTCTCAGGTTAATCAGCATCTCTTCATAGAGATCCATTGAATCACACTATGCAGCACTGACCTAGGAGGCACCTCCAATGGACATCTGAGTAGTGGCCACTGTGTTTACATTAAAATGCTTGCAAGGACTGACTATACTCATCAGAACAACGACAATAAGCTGTAGTTGTTCTTGTGACTATAGTATCCCTTTAACCCCTTAAGGACACATGACGTGTGACATGTCATGATTCCCTTTTATTCCAGAAGTTTGGTCCTTAAGGGGTTAAAAAGGGACTAACTGAACTGTAAGCTACAGAGGTTTTTTCAGTGTTCTCCTAAATTAGGATCTGAACCTCCACTTGTAATTGTATGAATTTTGGGCTTGGTAGCTTCTTTGGTGCTAGTGCCTGCTTATTCCTTAGCATAAGCGCAGTAGGTGACCACAACTAGCAGCTGATGATTGTACAGTGTTGAGATATATACGAGAGGTTTGTAAATATAAACTAATAACAAACATTGGACTATTATTAGAATTAATACAAGTGCTCAGTCACTCAGCAGCTGGGTGGCTACTGTCGAAATAAAGCGAAATTAGAATGTGGTTGTGAATGCCAAGTACACACACTACACGTGTAATGGTCTTCTATAGGGTGGTGCTTACTGTTGAAATTTGTCTGGCATATGTTTCTCTCTGTTTATTATGAGGAGAGAGGGTAATGGCTCTGAAAAAACCTCATCCACAGCCACCCTGGATGAAATGCTCATAAAACCAGGCTGAAATGGGATTTCGATTATTTCTGCTTTGTTGCAGCCACTGGTGTTCCTGTAGGAGCAGAGATAGTTCTGTGCCAGTGATCTGGCTGAAACCTGCAGAGCGGCTGAATGGGAGATCAGAAGGCTGAGTGAGGGCCAGCAGAATTTGAGCATATCTGTGAAATGAGGCACTGGTTTGGATTACACAAGGGAACAGGCGAGCCTGCCAGATCTCCCATCTGGTGTCAAGGTGCTGAATGGAAGCTACTCCTGACAAGGATACAATGGGAATCCAGCATGAGAGAAACAAACAGTGCATTGTAGATCTGGATACTGTAATTGTTATTCATTTAAATATAAACCTTTCATGTTTTTTGTTTTTTTTGTTGTTTTTTTCTTTATTTTTTTTGTGTGAACCTTTTGTACCCAGCCGTGTACTCAGGGACAGGTCTCTCCAGCACTTGGAGAGTAAAGCCCGTCTAAGGGTTAAAGTTGCCAAGACAAAAACCAGGCATTTGGTCAAGTCACCTAATTTTTTACTCCGATGTTCCCCTAGTAGCATGTGTTTGTTCTAAGCTCTCTGGATCAGGAATTTGAGCTTGTAAATTGTGTTATGAAAAACAGTGTACAAGGATAAATTATAAGCAAGAATTAACCACTGCTGAAGATCAAACTTCTGCACACTGCTTGACTTCTACAGTATAAGAGAACACTGCAGGAGCATTAGTGGAGGTACATAGAATTTTCCTAGTTTGTGTTTTGTACAGTCAGTGACGCTTGTTTACAGGGAAACATATTACTTTACTAGTATTTACCTTTAACCTGTGTTACAGGACCACTAAAGCATTGCAGTACAAACCTGTTTCTAGTTAGATAGGTTCCCCCCGCCTCCCTTGTGTGCACCATAAAATTAATTAATTAATAAATTATTTACTTACCTTTTTTCATAGAGGATCATTGAGGACCTAATGGTTATACATGGTGAGCAACAGTGCTTCTATATTCACTAAACACAATTCCTGGTGAAAACCCAAATGTTTAACTACCAAAAGAAAGCAATTGTGTACATTTATTTTCATGTATGTACACCGAGAAATCCCCCCCCCAAAATTCAAATTTGCCAATTTTTATTGATTTTAAGATTAGGATACAGAAAAAAAAGGGGATGGGGAAACACAGAAGCATACATTGTTCTACTGTACAATTCTTTTTGACCGTTTCCTATTGTTCAGTTTAACAGGTTGTGCTACGTCTTCAAATATTCATTTGTGCATTATACAGTATTTAACTATTGTCACATGTGTTAGAATACAATATGCTTGTCATACAAGTAGAAGCCATGTACATTTATAACATCCTATAGACTGTGAGCTCATTTGAGCAGGGCCCTCTTCATCCTATCGTTTCTGTAAGTTTTCTTGTAATTGTCCTATTTATAGTTAAATCCCCCCTCTTATAATATTGTAAAGTGCTACAGAATCTGTTGGCGCTATATAAATGGCAATAATAATAATAATCTACATCTCCAACCAACATTTCTATCAGGCTAACAGTGCAGATCGGTCTGTGACTCAATTGTTAATTGATCGCTTATACCATTTTGACTCCTGTTATTTCTCTCCCCTTATATTAAGCTTCTTACTTAACCGCTTAATGTTGATAGAGGAATAACCAGTAGAATGGAAAATGAAAAACAAAAGGGGGAAGAGGGAGGGAATGAGGGGATGGTTAGGGTAGGGAACTCTATATGTTTGAGATATAGTCGTATAGCTTAGGGGTTATAAATCTTGAGTCCTGTAGCACTTGGGCTGTCCATTCCGTTTATTTTTGTGGAGGCATTCACATGTCTATGTGGGTAGGCTTAGCCTCATTATCCTAGACGCTCTGGTTTTCCCAGGAGTAATTGTGTAACCAAACTCAACTGCAGTCAAGCACAATTGTAAACCCTGTATTTCCCTCACTTGTAGGTATATGGCTGACAAACCCCAAGATGTTCTAGTTCCTGGGTAGCTTCCTTGTATTATGTTTGGTTGGTGGATCCGTATTCTTTCCACATAAGGTTTGCTTTGGTTAGGACTCTCCTTGCTCCAAATTTTGCTGCGAATATAGGTTTGTATGTCCAGTTCAGGTTAATTTGGTTGGTGACTTCTTTATAGCTAGGTCGTGTAGAGTATTTCCACAGTCTGGAAATCACCAAGGCAGCTGATATGAGAATTTGATCAATGGCCGCCCATTGGGATTTCGGTATCCCCTCCGAACAGTATGCACATGAACAGTATGTACATATCCACCATGAGGTCCATGGATTCATGTGTTTCCTTTTCTAGTTCTTTTCCTTTTCAAGTTTTTTTACCCTCTGCCAAAATGGTTATAAGGTCACGCACGACCACAAAATATGTAGCATGGTCCCTACTTGTTCTCCACACCTCCAGCACTTGCTGGAAGAAGGGGCCATATCCAGTATAATTTGTCAGGTACTAAGTACTAAGGGTACAGCAGTTTTCTCTGCAATTCTAAGTGGTTGGAGCATGATGTAACTCCTTTGTGTGAGGAGTACGCCTTTATCCATTTTTCTTCAGATATGATGCGGCCTAGTTTCCTGCACCAAGCATGCATATATGTGACTCTGGTGTTATCGTATGTGTTTATGAGTAGTTGGTTGCTTAGTGAGATCACTCTTTTAGGGATAGCAGTTTGACTGGTGTGTTGTTGTTGGTCTTTGGTTTTGTGCAAGTTAAACATGACTTTAATTAAATGTATGAAAACATGGGGTTTGGGGTGCTAGTTTAAGTCTAGGAACTGCAGCAAGGCTCCATTGTTATACAATTGTGCTATGTCTCTTATGCCATGACCTATCCACAAGTTTTTGTTGAACATGGGAATCATCTGGGCTATTGATTCTATCGGGGTTCCTAGAGATAGTGGGTGAAAATACAATAGATCACTCTTGACCACATCCCATATCTCTATCAGTAATTGTGATGTGGAAAAAAGGTGGTGCGAGGATGGTCTATGGCTTGCCGAAGTCCAGAGATGGGTGTACAATTTTATCCGTTTAGGCCAGTAGGATTCAATATGCAACCACTGAGGGGAAGTTGTCGATGGTTTAAGTAGCGATATCGTGTTGAGGATTGCTGCTCTATAGTAGGTTAGGAGGTCTGGGAAACCAAGGCTTCCATTGGGAGCAGTTCTTTTGTATTCGCTTGCTGGCTACTCTCACTTTTTAGAAATCACAATTTAAGGGGAAAAAAACATTGTTGATTCTCATGAACATACAATCTTGTTTTTGAGTATGTCATTTTGAGGTTTTTCTTCTATCCTAGCCAGTGCAGACTTCCCCATGTGAAACATTTACACACCTGAGCCATAGTTCTCTCACATATTCTATAAGCCCCAAGTAATTATAAAGTACCTTACTGACCCAACTGCCACATTTCCAATAACATCATTCTGCTCCATGTACAACAGGAAAAAAAAGAAGGGGAGATACAGCGCTAACTCCAAAGGCAGCAGAATAAGGTTCTTTATTGGAGGTCAGTCTCGTATCCTCCTTAGTGTTCAAGAAGACAAAACTTTAGTGAAGATGAAGAATTCTGTTGTTGGTGTCTCATAGGAAATAAAACACTAAAGAAACCACCGCTAGTGTAATCCAGTATGTACAATGTCTTAGGTAAAATTAAGATAAAATACACTCACAAGGAGAAAGATTCCATTCAGCTCTTCAATAGGGCTCTAAAGGGTATAATCCCCGCTCAAGGATAAATCTGGAGATGTCCACTTTTGATGTTCATAATGTAGATGGCATATGAAAGGAATAAAACAAGATATAGTGCTCACTGTTTTAAACAGTAGTACTTTTTAAAAAAATATATAAAATCTACTCACAATTTCAAGAGCACCTTTTCCTTAATGATATCAGATTGGGTAGTATGATCCCCACCAAAGATATATGTAGGTAGATGTGGAGGTTCCTTTAGATTAATAAAAAAAAATGCAGGATAAAAAATACATAAAAAAATAAACATAAAAATTTGTTTGAGGGTAAAAACAATGTTTACTGTAATATACCACTCAAAATAAAAACAGATTGAAAAAAAAAGTCCTTCTATATACGGTAATCACAATGCATTTTACCCATAGGCTTTTTCACGGTTTTCACTTGAAATAGGTGAAACGCGTTGTGAGTATGTTTAACGTGATGCCTCTATGCTCATTTACACGTCAAGCTGGAAACTCTGGGATAGCTGCAGAAACACGATTTCTTACGTTTCTATGCCCAAGAAGGACATCTCATAGTATAACGTGAGATATGCTGGTTTTGAATAACCTTTAAGTTTTTTGTGTGTATATATACAAACATATATTTACTCATTTGTAGTCATACTGCCCCTTGCTTTCATTGTTCACAGATTGCAATCCATCTTGTCAGTGTCCAGCAAGTGTCCCGGCAGACTTGTATGTTTATCACTATTTGAAAATTGGTTTGACCAAACGCAGGGAGACAGCACCCAAAAACTAAAGGAGCTGTTGTGGTTATGGTGCTTAGAAAGCCCCTTTTATTATATATTCTGCTGGAGATTATTATTTTGGAATAATGCATCAGTAATTCCTGAGCTATTTAAGGCTTTAGTACTGTATTTGGGGGCAGTTTTATTGTCCCGGAGGGTTAGGGCTTATTTGATGGTATTATTATTATTATTATTTGATGGACATAGCCTCACTCTGTTTTTGAATTTAGTGAACTATGTCTGAATTTTTGTATCAGAAGTATGAATTGTCCTGTATGATTTTTTTTCTGAATTAGTTATAAATTCAGACCTTTAATGTATAACCCCAATGGATGTGCAGGTTCTCTAGGTGATTGACAGAAACCTCCCAATAATGTACTAACCGTGGCATTCTATACTCTATTTTGTAACACAGGAACAGTGTTTCTATGTGAACATTAGGAGAGTACCTTTCGCTTCAGGTTGTAGAACACTGGACCTGACTGGACTCCTAACCACACTCCTTTCCTTTCATTTATAGGTTAATTAAGTGCTTAAGCGCTAAACTTACAATCAGATGCAATGATTACAGTGCAGTGTTTAAAGTCTGGACAAAGTTCATGTTCCTTTGCAAGGATTCTGCCTCGCTAATTAGCATTTAAGTTGAGAAATGGCACACTTTTGTGTCAATTATCATAGCAAATCCACCACAACACTATACAAGCTGGCTTGTATGAAACAAGCCCCCTGGAGAGACATGGGTACGGCTGGCCTAGGGCATTCCAGTGATATAAAGCATAGGTGCAAGCACGGCTCTAAAGGGAGCATATATTACAATGTGTGTCCGCCAAGTTTACAAATAGTCCCTCAAAATAGCTAGCAGGACTGTTCAATCGCTTCCCTGTGCTAGAATAGCTTTGTGTAGCCTCAAACTTTAATATTGTTCTTACTTTGTAGTTTACCAGAATTCTGGTGTCCCCAGGAGCAGAAAAACCGATATTAAAACCTGAACAAATGTGACAATAAGGACTGTCCCACAGGTTAGGATGTCAACAAGGCAAGGAAAAGCCAATGTTTAGGACACTGAGAACATCCATGACTTACAATAACCTAAAATGAAATTATTTTGTGTAAATTGACAGAAACATGTTATCAATTACTCATTAGGACATAGCTACAGACAGCTAATGACTGAATCACAGCAAAATGTTAATTTACAAGATAAAAATAAATTATCATAGATCGAGGAAGACTCTCTGCCTTCATGATGTCACTGTATTAGTAATAGCATAATGTTAATATGTGATCCTTCTCACTAATTCAACCTTCATGAACGCTGTCGACTGTTCTGGTTAGGTTGTGATCAGAGCTAATAATATCACTTTGTCCAGAGCATTTCCAGTTATGACTCCATCTCATGTGCTTTGCTTGCTCACTGTTTGATAGAACTAAGCTCTGTTTAGATTTGTCTTCATCTGCCCAGTTAAATACTTTTTTCCCAGTAGAACTGGAAAACTGATACTTTGTGTTCCATGAAAATAGACTTTAGGAAGAAAATTAATAGAAAGAAAAAAAAAAAACGATGGCGACATCTAAATTAAGTCTTTATTTTTGTCATGAAATTGGCAATGATTGAATGCATTTGTTTGCAGATGGTTTAACCCTGTCAGAGAGGTCAGTGAGCAAAACATTTCTAACCGCAATGGAACACAAAGGCTCAGATATTGGTTATTGCTCTGATTTTATTTTAGTATTTTCAACCCTCGAATAGTAAAAACTTGCTGGTAAATTTAAAAACACTTTTTTTGATAGCAGAACCACACAAAAGGCGTTCTTCACTGTAGGGTTTTCATCTGATAAAGTATCCTCGACAGTCGGTAGGTAAGACACTAGTGTAAAGATTAAGAGGGGGAAGCGCACACAATAAAGGAGATTTTACCTTATATGTACATTACACTTGAAAGAAATTATGTGAATAGTTCCTATACAAGGATAAAAATAAAACACAACATAGTGTAATCTGTATAAATATTTTGTGAGAAGAGGTCAAAACTCAAAACACTCACAATTTTCTGAGCCCATTAAAGTTGGCTCTGAACTTATAGAGCATATATGTCTCCTTTATGGACATGGGAAGATTTTCTCTATTGATTGGATGTAAGAAGTTGAAATCAGGAACTCCAAAAATGGAAATAGGTGACTAAAAGTGATTTTTTTTTTTATTGGTATATAGAAAACCAAATACAAAAAAATTAAATAATATGCATTTCAACCACAAAAAAAGGGTCTTCCTCAGGTGCTGCTGAATGTTCCACTGGCATAAACATGCTTTTTATGGGTATATCAATTAAACAATAAAAACAATCAAACACACGTTACATACGATACTACTATTTCCATATGTGGTCCGGTCCTGATGCGCACTCTACCACCCCCAAAATGGCGGCGCTTCAGTTTCGGACATATTTCACCACCATATTGGTGGTCTTAAATGCATAAAAATACATACAGAGGAATGGAGTATCTATAAATAATAGATAATCCTATGAATAAAAAAAACACTATTATTTAAAACATAGTTATGAATATTTTCCAAATTATCTGAGATCCTAATGATCGTGTGGATATCCGTCACGTCACATCCTGTGACATGTTCAGTTCCAGCTTGATAGTCCGTTGCATCATTTCCGGTGACATATTCTTTTTAGGCTATTCACATCCGACGGGTGCCAGCATTGTGCATTGTGCCATTTATAACATGGTATAAAGTCCCAACATATGCATAAAGTTAAAAGGACAAAAAACAATAATTAAATATATTATACTTATAAAAAGACTAAAAAAGGTAAGGATTATAAGAAGAGAGGATATAACAACAAAATACATTGAGGAGGATGTTAAACATAAAAACCACCAGATAAAACAAGTATGTGCAAAAATACATTAAAAGATAAGGTGAAATACTTTGAACTTAAAGTCCAGACTCCAAAACTTTTAAATGTAAAAAATTTTTTTAATAAAAACTTTAAACATTATAAAAGTTTTAAAAGGGGGTGGGGAGGGGGTGAGAGCAAAAGAACCTTTTATAAAATCTTACAATCCAATCCCTATAAAAAGTATTTTATAGAATAATATTGATTTCAAAATCAATATGTAATCCTTTAGGAGTTAGAGTACGCAACTCAAATATCCACTTTTGACGCCTGGATACTTAATATCTTAATAATATCTTAACAATTTTTCCTCCCTTCCAATGGTGCACAAAATTCTAGATGACTTGGGTTAGACATATGATGCTCCAAAAAATGCAGGGATAAGCTATGATTTAGAAAACCTTTTCTAATATTTCTGACATGTTCACTCACTCATGTTCACTTAACTTTTAATGGTCTAGATGTCTTGCCTGTATATTGTAGACCACAAGTACACCACAGTAAGTAGATGATATTAGAAGAATGACATGTAACAAGGGATTTAATTTAATTTTATTTTTTAGTAATAGCGGAATGGAAATTTAAAACTTTTCTGGGGGGCTTGCAGCTTGTGGGGGGGGTCAGGGGTGCAGTGGGGGGAAGATTAGAGTAATATAAATATGTATATGTATTATTATTTTTTTTAAATAAATATATAGCTTATATCTATAGCTTGACTATTGCAATCCCCTTCTCACCGGTCTTACATGTTCCCAGCTTGCACCACTGCAATCTATAATTAATACGGCTGCGAGGCTTATTTTCCTGTCCGGTTGCACCTCCCACGCCTCCACGCTCTGTCAGTCCCTGCATTGGCTTCCAGTTAGATATAGGGCCCAATTCAAAATTCTGGCGCTTGCTTACAAATCCCTACATAATGCTGCTCCAACATACCTATCCTCCCTCATACACAAGTATGTCCCGTCGAGACCCCTGCGCTCAGCCCAAGACCTACTCCTATCCTCTGCCCGGATCCCCACCTCTGATGCTCACCTTCAAGACTTCTCCAGGGCTGCACCTATTCTGTGGAACTCCCTTCCCTCCTCAATCAGACTTTCACCCAGCCTCCATTCCTTCAAAAAATCTTTGAAAACTCACTTCTTCATTAAAGCGTATCAATTAAACTGTCAGCAGGTTTCTCATCCCCCACCCCATGACTCCGTTCCTGCACCTGTCAAAAATGACCTACCAAGCACTCAATAAACCCTTCTGTAACAAACTATTTAATTCCCCTACTTTAACCCTTTGTGTCACTATACCCCACTCCCTCTAGCATGTAAGCTCATCAAGCAGGGTCCTCAACCCCCTCTGTTCCTGTACGTCAGTGGCCTGATCTCAATTATGTGTCTGTTAGTCCACCCATTGTACAGCGCTACGGAATTTGTTGGCGCTATATACATAATAAAATAATAATAATAATAATAATACCCCCCCTACCTTCTTACCTTTGCCTGGAAGGGGGGACTTTGCTGCCAGCTCTGGTGGTCCAGTGGGAAATCCATGATGGCCACAGTAGTGAGTGAGTTTACAGTCCCTGGAGTTCACTCTCAGGAGATCGGCGCATTGCCATGGCAATGCTCCGACCTTGCGAAAGAAACCCGGCGGAGCTGTGAGCTAATAGCTCCTGGGTCCTCCACGCTCTCCCTTCCTCCCGCCGGCTGTTCTGTAAAGTGCCTGTGGGCCAGTGAGGGAGATCTTTGATCTCCCCACCGGCCCATGAAGGCACACAACAGGGTCGGCACTCCGATAGCACGGCTCTGTATGGGCCGGCAGGGGAGATCTATTGATCTCCCTGGTCTGCCTCGGCCCATGGCCATCACTGACCACCGTGCATTTGCCCGGTATGCCCAATGGTCAGTATAGGCCTGCTTGGAGAGCATGATGACTGTCAGTAGAGAGTGTCTCCTGCTCACCCTTTAACTCAGTTCTACAATACACAAGTTTATGCCGAAGAGTTGATCGACAGATGAGAGAAACACCGCTTATTAAAGTTGTAATTTATGTAATTCTGAGAGTAATATAGAGTCATGTGGGGAAAAAATACACCCTCTTAGAAGTCTGGTTTTACATATCAGGACATGTTCCTTAGCAGGCCTTAATATTATATACAAACTCAGATTAACAACAAAAAATAAATCCAAAATAAAGAAGCCACGTGTGAAAAATACACCCTTACTGCTTCCGTTTATTGATTAATTGACCAACAGCAAGTGTGACCAACTCTATAAAAGCCACAGTTTTAGCAGTTTGCTGGTCTTGAGCATTCAGGTGTGTTTTAACCCAATGCAAAGGAGGAAATACATCAGATATGATCTTAGAGAATCAATTGTTGATGCCCATGAAGCTGGGGAGGGTTTTAAGTACATTTCCAATAAATTTAAAGTCCATTATTCTGCAGTGAGAAAGATTATTCAAAAGTGGAAAACATTCAAGACAGTTGAATGCAGTGTCCGTAGTGACTGACAATCTTCCCAGGAGTGTCAGTCCCAGCAAATTCACCCCAAGGCAATGCTCAGATAAATTGTAAAAAAGCCAAGAGTTACATCTCAGACTCCTCAGGCCTCTGTTAGCATGTTAAATGTTAAAGTTCATGACAGTACAATTAGAAAAAGTATGAACAAGTATAGTTTGTTTCGAAGGGTTGCCAGGAGATAGCCTCTTCTCTCTAAAAAGAACATAATAGCACGGCTTAGGTTTGAAAAGTTGCATTTGAACAAGCTACAAGACTTCTGGAACAATGTCCTTTGGATATACGAGACCAAAGTGGAAATGCTTGGCCATAGTGACAGCACCACGTTTGGCGAAAACTAAACAGTATATCAGCAGAAAAACATCATACCAACTGTTAAGCACATTGGTGGAGGGGGGATGATTTGGGCTTGTTTTGCAGCCACATTCAGGGCTGCCATCAGAAATTTTGGGGCCCCTGACAAAGCACAAGGTCTGCCCCCCCCCCACTCTCCCTCCGTCCCCCCGGGCCCGCCCACGCCCTACCTAGTCCGCTGTCAATGATGCAGGACTGAATGTGGTGTGTATAGTGGAAGTAAATTAGAATGTGTGTAATGGATGTAGTGTTTGTGTGTATTAGATACTGTTTGTGCAGTGAATGCAGAGTGTGTGTTTGTGTAGCGGATGCAGTGTGTATTGTGAACGCAGAGTGTGTTTGAGTAGTGGATGTAGTGTGTGTTTGTGTGTACTAGATGCAATGTGTTTAGTGAATGCAGTGTCCGTAGTGGATGTAGTGTGTGTATTAGATGCAGTGTCTCTGTATAGTGAATGCAGAGTGTTTCAATGTGTGGTGGATGTAGTGTGTGTACTGTGAATACAGGATGTTTGTGTAGTGGATGCTGTGTGTATAGTTAATGCAGAGTGTATGTTAGTGTAGTGAATGCAGAGTGTGTGTTAGTGTAGTGAATGCAGAGTGTGTGTTAGTGCAGTGAATGCAGAGTGTTAATGTGTAGTGAATGCTAAGAGTGTGTTAGTGTGTAGCGGATGCAGAGTGTGTGTTAGTGTAGCGAATGCAGAGTGTGTGTCAGTGTAGTGGATGCAGTGAGTGTGTTAATGTATAGTGAATGCAGAGTGTGTGTGTTAATGTGTAGTAAATGCAGAGTGTGTGTTGTAATAGTGTATGCAGAGTGTGTGTTGTATTAGTGTATGCAGTGTGTGTGTTGTATTAGTGTATGCAGAGTGTGTGTTGTATTAGTGTATGCAGTGTGTATGTTGTATTAGTGTATGCAGAGTGTGTGTCGGGGTAGTGTATGCAGTGTGTGTGTTGTATTAGTGTATGCAGTGTGTGTGTTGCATTAAATCAAATTATTGCTCTCTTCCAATAACTCTCGCGAGACCCGCGGCTTTCTGAGCGTTGCCACGGGTTACCATGGCAATGCTCCGCGCGGCACGCAAGCAAGAGTTATTGGAAGAGAGCACCAGAATGTGCAGAAGCAATGTGCTGGGCCCCCTCTGCAGTAACAAGGAGCCAGGGGCCCCACCATGCCACTGGACCACCAGGGAATGGAATCTCCCCCCTCTCTGGACTCGCGAGAGTTATTGGAAGAGAGCATCGGAATGTGCAGAAGCAGTGTGCTGGGCCCCCTCTGCAGTAACAGGGAGCCGGGGGCCCGCAGCTGCACATATAGAGAGCGATATGTGTATCTCTGTGTGTGGATGTGCCAGTGTTTTTATCTGTGTGTGTGTGTGTATGTATGTATGTGTCTGTGTGTGTATACGCCAGTCTGTTTATGTCAGCGTGTGCATGTGTCCAGATGTGTGCATGTATCAGTGTGCTAATGTGTATGTATATCTGTGAATGTATGTCATACATCCCAGCAATCAAACACACCATCTGCGCGGGCCGGGCCGCAACACATGGTCACAGGGCTGCGACCCCTGCGACCGCAGTATGTACGCCAGTGCATGCAGATACACATACACTTAAAGGACCACTATAGGCACTCAGATCACTTCAGCTCAATGAAGTGGTCTGGGTGCCAGATCCCTCTAGTTTTAACCCTGCAGCTGAAAACATAGCAGTTTCAGAGAAACTGCTATGTTTCACTGAGGGTTAATCCAGCCTCTAGTAGCTGTCTCACTGACAGCCGCTAGAGGCGCTTCTGCGATTCTCACTGAAAATCAGTGAGAAGACGCTGGACGTTCATAGGAAAGCATTGAGTAATGCTTTCCTATGGGCGGTTTAAATGCGAGCGCGGTTCTTGCTGCGCATGCGTATTCAGAGCTGAGAGGCGGATCAGGGCGGAGAGATCCCCAGTGCCAAGGGAGCCTGGTAAGTGTAAGTGCTGAAGGGGTTTTAACCACACACACACTCTCACGAACAGATGCATACACACTAGCTAAACAGACACACACATTTACTAACAGACACACACTCAGTGACAGACATACATACACACTCACTGACAGACAGACACACATTCACACTCACTTACAAAACATACACTCTCACTGACAAACACACACTCACTAACAGACACCAAACAGACTCACTAACAGACACACACTAACAGACACACACAAACTAACACACATACTCAATAACAGACACACACAAACACACAACTAACACACTCAGTAGCAGACACACACACACACAGTAACACACACTCACTGACACACAAAAACTAACACACTCACTGACACTAGCAGACACACACTAAATAACAGACACGCACTAACAGACACACACACACACACACACAAACTAACTAACTAACATACAACTAACACACTCAATAACAGACACACACATAGTAACACACTCACTGACACACACACACTAACACACATACACACTCACATTTTTTTTTAAATTTAATCCCCCAGCCTCCCTACCTTTGGGAGTGCTGAGGGGATTCCAGATTTCCCTGGGGTTCAGTGGGGCTACTGGTCGGGCGCACCACTTACTGATGCCGGAGTGACATATTCCGGCTCTGGCATCACTGCGGTGTGCCCGAGGGAGCTGGGCAGAGAGAGCTCAGGGGAGAATGCTCCCTCGCGCACACCGCCCACCAGCAGATTGACGCACTGCCACTGAGAAGAGGCTGGCAAAATGTGGCCGCACTGGCGTACATACCGTGGTCGCAGCGACCACTGCGACTACAGTATGTATGCCAGTGAAAACTACTCACAAATACAGCCCTGCAAGAATTGCCAAATGGTAGATACCCAGCTGGCATAGCATTGTGGGAATTGTGCAACAGATGAGGATCTATCTTTTCTCCATTCATGCGCTAGAGGGGAGGCCCTAAAAATTTCTTGCACCAGGGCCCTCTCTACAATGCCACTGTGTTGGGGTGGAGGGCATGATTGCATGCCAGGGGGTGGAAGTGTGTGGGGGGAAGGCCAGGATTCAGGGGGCCCAAGTAAATGCTTGTCCAGGGTCCAAACAATGTTAAAGATGGCCCTGATCAGAGTGTACGGGTAGAAAGTGTGAAACAAGTCCCATTAGAGCCAGTCAGAGTGCGGTAGATTTCCTGACAATATCCTGATTTTCTTTTTTCATAAGTCCCCATGCAGGAGAATCCATTGATTTAACTAACTTGATTTATCTAACTCTCAATCACAGTGAGTCTGGCTCAAGCCCCACAGATATCTGGTCCCATTGGCATACCTCCCAAGTGTCCCTCTTTAGGGCCGAAATCCATCTGTCCCTCTTTTCTATCCTAATGTCCCTATTTTCTAGGAGCTCCATATTGTTGTCTGATTTTACAACAGAGCTGTATGGCAATAATACTCATAGTAATGTTTGTAAACTACAATAAATGTGTTTGAAATCAGTCTGTGTAAATAGGACATATTGTTCTTGTTCTAATTTACATTTTTGTTGTATAAAGTTGTCTACTCTACTTCCGTCAAACAATGCAATCATCAATCCCATCTTATAAAAAGCCATCTTGGCACCCTACTTCTCTTTCTTTAGTTACTGTTCCCATTGTGTAGTAAAGCTAGGTAGAACAGTTTCAGTGGGAAAATTAAACAAAATATAAATGGCAGAAATTACGGGAGAGGGACAGTCGTGAGCCATAATGCTTCAAATTAATTTAACATCCGTAAATGAGACATAGTACAGAAGAAATAAAATGTTGCAACTGAAAATAACTCCATGTATCAGACTATGATGTAAGTAGCCATATGTTCACTTCACCAATGTAAAAGTAAAGGCTTTATTATGGGATGAGGGATAGAGAGGGGAGAGGTATGAAGAAAGTTGGCAATTCTTATTCAATTTATCAAACAATCTCAATGTGCGGCCTATAGTGATATGTGCTCAGAGCTCTGTATTTTTAAATAACGCAATTTAAGGTATCCTGGAACGTCCTCACATTGGAAGTGAATCCATCTTTATGATTTCAAAGAAAGAAATTGCTTATTTATACATTTTCCGGAAGTGTTAGATCATCTGTATCATTAAGCCGCGTGTGTACTAAATGGATTCAAGACGAACTTACACAGAATTGTATACCACATGTGAAATAGCAGTTGTATGTTGAAAGCGGCATCTTTTAAATTTGACCCCTGAATTTTATTGGCTTTGATCATAAAAAATGAAATCCTGGAAAAAGTAGAGCTTGCATTTTATAGATTCTGCGACTGAATGTTTTCCATTATCGTACCTTTTCTTCTTTTTTGTAAGTCCTTTTTTTTTAAGTTTGTGTTTCCAGAGCACATTTACTCATAAATGCTAAGTGTAAAAGTAATTTTCTGAATTACACATATACCTTCTCCATTTATTTGATAATTAATTGATTAATATTTCTAAATTGATAAAAGCTATTGTATGAGTCATTTAGATCACTGTTAAAAATTAAAATACCAGCACATTCCTAAACTCAGTACAGTCTGTTCATTAGAAGGAATGTGGGTATGAGAACAAAATATACCATAAAACAGTTATACTATCCGCCTGGGTCAAACACTAGTGTAAGGTTAACAGGTCATATAATCTATTACTGTAACAGTAGGCAATCAAGAGGATATCAAGATAAATATTTGTGGTGAAATAAATGATTTCCCTGGCGTATAAACCATCTCGTGCTGTAGTTCAGTTCTGCATATGTATACAATGGATCTGCAGAGGCTGAGATGGGGTGCCAACCTCACAATTGGTAGGTGATCGATAATGACTGAATTTCAAAATTTGTTTGTTAATAAATGCAGCAAGTGTCAAGATCTAGAATTCTGACTAGAAGCAAAATAATCTGAGCAAATACCACTTTTTAATTTTAATTTTTTTAAAAAAAAGTTTTAAAGTGGTAAATTGATAAGAGGCGTAGACTCTTAAGAGAAACTACATGCCGGAAGAAAAGATGCATACAACATGTATGTTCTCCTTCCACAGGTGTTCTTAGCACATTTCACTAAAGTATACACCTAGGATTTTTTTATTTTATGTTTTAGTATAAAAGAATAATATAAATTTAAAACCAATGTATAAAGTCATTTGTATTCATCAAAAAGCAAAAGCCAAGCTACTGTTTTTTTTCTTCTAATTACCAACAAACACATATAAATCAAACTTGAAAAAGCCAAACATTTTTGAAATAGTAATTAATATAATTTACAAATATAAGTTATGATCTATTTCGAATAGGGGCAAACAAGTTGGAAAGGACTTAAATGGGGGGGTTGTGTTGCTAAAAGCGCCTTGTGTAATTCTGTGCCTTGGCACACTTGCGCATGTGATCCCTTTCTACACAATTGGACGTTTAAGGAAAACATCCTCAAGAAGGTTGAACATCTTCCATGACATGCAACATGCTAGATTAACAGCCAACTCATCAACATCAACACAGTGAAAGGGAACTTTATAAAGCTTTTTCAAAAAAATTATTCTTTTTTTTTTTGTTTTTTAAGCAAATCTGCTAACACAATGTATCTAAGATAACATAGTAAAACATACCTTGAATAATAGTACAGTTTACATTCGGAGTGTCATGTATAATTTAGCTGCCCACAGCAACAGGTTGCCTGGTGTTTCAGAATTCTGCGGGCACATTGACGGAGGACGACTACTCGGGGAGGTCCTGCAAATAAAAGCCTCAATTTAATAACCTTTCCAAATGATTCAATACCCTTATAGAAACTTTCCATAAGATTTATATAAATAAGTCACCACTAAGTCTATGTGAATTTTTGTCGTTTTCGCACTTGGAAAGTTTTTGTAACCGTATTGAATCATTTGGAAACCTTATTACATTGAGGCCAAGTTAGGAGATGTGCTACAAAACCAAGGACTGGGAAAAGTAGGTGACGGATTCCATGCCCTAGTAAACTGGTCTATGCCCCGAATATAGACCTGCTCTCTTGCATATGCTTGCTACTGTTTTCCCCCAAAATAATGCATCTCCCAAAAATAAGCCCTAGTGCTTTTTTTCGGTGCAAAAATTTATATAAGACCCGGTCTTATTTTCGGGGCAAAATGGTAACTATATTTCTTAATTCGCAGTGTTAAGTGTATCCCCTAACCTAACCTAACCTGAATTCCTAAACATATTTCACTAGAGAATGCTATTGCCAAATTAACCTAGTCACATTTAATCTAACATTAAATTGATGTCATTTATTTGAATGTTTATAGACTTTACAGTCTGTTGGCAGACTGGCAGACAAATTTCAGTTGGAAGCACATGAAAGAGTTAATGGCTCTGCAGTTGTATTTTTTTGACTTGATTTACAGGCAAGCAGAAGGATTACAGCTACATTATGCAGAAAACCACAAACTTGTAATACTCTCCTTCATGCAATTTCTTTCATCCGATGGCTGCTATGCTCCGCAGAACATCCCCTGGGGCGAAATATCTAACAAGAGGATCTGATATAAATAAAGTGTATTTTTCCTTCAGGCACAAACACCATTCTCTTGGTTCATGATCACAAACGAGCATTGACTTTTACTATTTAGATCTGAATACAGTTAAAAACTCTACGATGGCCATGTTTATTAGAGTCAAAGCGAAGCAACCTAAACAGAAATGCCATAGAATTTAAAAAATGTAATGTTATTTAACCCACATAAACAATATGGCTGGTTAAAAAAAAAAAATCCTTATAAATAGCTGAAGATGCTAACTGTCCTAAAATAACATTCATTGGTTCCTTGGAATTAGATGTTCTGATAAAAACCATCCTGTGTTGGTCATCATTGAACAGAACGGAAATGAGAAATGTTATAGTATTATGAACTATTGCTGCTTTAATTGCACTGGTACCGATATTTTTGGATGGCTTTATCCACGATGAGCTATCCAATCATGCAATACTCTTGCGTAGATAAATATTGAAAACTTGGTAGAGGTCCACAAGGGGATAGTTGACCATAAGTTTTGGAACTTAATATGACTAGCTGTATATCTTTAGTGAAACATGCTTCCTTGAGATAATAATTAAACAAAAACATTACATTACTGAGGTTAATAAAATATTATTATTTGCAGAATATTCCAACAGCAGTAGCTACATTTACCAAGATGAACTTTCCACGATGACTTTTTCTTTAACCCCTGAAGGACACATGACATGTGTGACATGTCATGATTCCCTTTTATTCCAGAAGTTTGGTCCTTAAGGGGTTAATATGAAGTACTATATCAAAAAAGTGGCACCAAACTGGGGGAAAGCACCAGGGACATACTGACGCCGTATCCACCAAAGTGACCTGAAGTTTTTATGGAACTTCGAGAGAAACTATAATTTAATTCTCCTGTTTTGTTGCGTTTTTTAAAAGATCCATTTGTTAATAACTCCATTGTGACTTAAAAAATAGGTTTTCCAACACACCAACTCTGTAGTATTAGTATGCCTTCTAATTATATAGGTCTTCAAAAATGTATCAAGTTACATTATGAATCAAATGAAGCTGTCCTGTTCTACAATAGAGTTATATCTCAAAGATTTCTGTGAGATAGGTACACAGATAGAGAGGGGGGAATGAGATTAGTTAGATTGGATTTAGAGGTACTGGTGAGGTAGGGATCATGTTGAGACAGAGACTATGGAGGGTCAAGAAATATGTTATGTTTCTGAAGTTAGAAAAAAGATGTGGCCAAATATAATAAAATTTGATTATATTTTTTGTAAAATAACCCTGATGTCTACGGTAGTGGTTGAAGACAATAATGAAGGTTTGAATTGTCCATGCAAATACAATAAATAAAAAAAGTTAATGGCTGACTCGATGTACTTGACAATGTGTCTCTAGTATTTGGAGCTCACACTCACATCATATACTGTGGCTCAGCATGGGCCCCTGCAAAGATGAAAGGATTCTAAAAATGTAATACTCGAATGCCTCTTCATGCTGTTTAAACTTTTGGCTTTTAAAGTGATTTCCTTTATTTTTCAGACAGTCCTTATCCAAATACATGTGCATTGCATTTAGGAAAATTATTCGGCGACTGTTTAAGCACCCTGGCCTCTCTAGAGAAACTGCATTATTTCTGAAAGGGAATCAAGGTTGATTTCCATATCTACAGGGAAATTAGCTAACACTGCAATTCTGGCAATTGCTGCTGTCCTCTAGTCTAATCCTTTTGTAGTATGTATGTATACTGAACTAACTATATAATTACGTGATGAGATACATTGTTATAGCTTTGCTTTATCAAATGATCTGATTTGGTCAGAGGTGTGTTTAATCACAGATTATCCAGCTTTAGATATTCATCTGCTGTCAGCTCTTTACATTTGCTGTACAACTCCCATAATGCTTAGCACACTGCTTGATAGTGACTAACAAAGTTTTTATTCGCAGGACCAGGAAGTGTAGTGAACTGACAAGGAATTGAAAACGCTTGATCAAAATGGTCCAAAATAAAAAAAGTCTGTCAACTTCTCTACATTAGTCTGAAATGTGAAATGTAATTCCTTAGTCGATTATACACGATTCATAGTTTATGGAATGATCTTCCATGTTTGGTTCACTGTACCACCTGCCTTTATTTCAGACTTGGCATGGGAGTTCACCATAGGTGAAAGAGACTATCGGGAAAACTGTGCATTTTCATGGAATGGGCAATAATCCGTGCACATCATATCACCCGATTCTGATGGTTCTTTTTGAACTGGCATTGGAAATCCACTGATATATACCCTGTATAACTTAACTGGGTGAATTTATTCCAGGTTACTCACTCTTACTATAAAAATTAAGTTTCAATCATGGAGTCATTCGTCACCCATCAACCCTCGCCCACATCTGCAAGGAGAAAAAAGAAAACACAAAAAAAATTTAAATGGTTTTCTCCCGACCAGGAAGACACAGTCAGGTGCGCGCTGACATGCTTGATTAAGAAGAATTCTATATGCTTGAACAACGTTATAAAAATCTGTCGTTACATGGACCATGCAACACTAATGCTTAGTAAGGTGGAACTGTCACTTCTATGGAAATTATATTATTGAAGAAAACATTGAAAATCACTGATAACTTATGTTAATGTTTTTTTCATGAGATGCTCCTTCCCCCCCCTCTCCCCTCACCCCCCATTTTTATGAAATATTTAGCAAATTACATCATAATCAGTCTAGGTGATGCAAAGCCAGGGCAAGCATTGAAGACATGGTTTCATCTCTCCTCTTCCCTGTATGCTTTCTCTATGCTGACTGCCATTTGCAAAAGTCAGAACTTATACCAATGATTGACAGAAACCAAGATGGAGGCACCCAGCTTCTGGATAACAATGTGTGGCTGTCTACATTTAATTTTATTTTTCCCACTTCTCAGGGATAACTAATCATATATAGTAGAAATCCAGCAAAGTGACAATGAAAATTTATAGTGAGAATTTGGTTTGCTTAAACACTGTGCCTCTAGTGGTGTGTAGGTCATGGTGTCTAGAGTTCCCCACTGCCGTCTCCATTTTTTAACTGTCTAACCTAGGGTAAGACAGACACCACTCCCTGGTACCATCTCCACAGAACTGAGAATTTTTCTGCAGGAGCTTCAGTTACCTCGCCATGGCTTAGCTCATTGGCAGAGTGCATCAGCTGATCACTCAATGCGCTGTGCATAATCAATATTGTCCATTTTCTGAAAAAAAAATATTAGTACCTGCAGCTCTATTTTTCTATGGTCTCACTGATTCCTATGAGGACACAAGGACAATAACATTGTACTGGTTTGAAATGTTCCTGCTGCAAATATTTGAAGAAATATCTGGTGGAGTTCCATTTACTACCTGCTGCAATCTGTTTTGTCTTCTTTTAAAAAAAAAAAACTAAAAAAAAAAAAAACTTGGACAATGTCGAGCATTTCTATAAAGCTAGGTAAATTATTTTTAAACCACAAACTTTAAGAATCTTCAAAATTATCCAGGTACCCAGAATTTCCAATTTATGGTCTGGCTATCAGAGTAATCATAGGTAATAACTTTATATTTTTTTGGTAAATTTTTTTTTGGTATAATAACATTATGCATGCTCATTATTGTGGTTTTGGTTGCTTTGAGATGATTGGGGATATAATCTAGTAAGTGATATCATCTTTATAGTTCTTGAAATCAATTTGCAAGTTCTATTTGTCTCGTCTAAGTAAACCGGCTTTAGTCTTGAAAAAATTTGATTTGTTAGGTGAACATTTGCAGGTACCATTATGTATGATTCTTTACTTTATGGGATTTCAACCAAAACACAAAACCACTGTCAACGAGATTTGCCCATAAATTGTCACAAAAGGTTTGACATCTGATGGACGTGCTACTTACCATTACATAGTTACATAGCTGAAAAGAGACTTGTGTCCATCAAGTTCAACCTTCCTCACATATGTTGTTGCTGTTAATCCAAAAGAAGGCAAAAATAACTAGACTGAAGTGCTTCCAATTTTGCAACAAACTGGGAAAAAAAATTCCTTCTTGACCCCAAAATAGCAGTCAGATGTCTCCTTGGATCAAGCAGCTATTACCCCACTAATTAGAAATTATATCCCTGTATGTTATGTTTTTGCAAGTACTAAAATCATTAATCGATCCTTCTTTTTTTTGTTAATGGAAATTTAGTGGCAACATAAGTGGCATTCTGAAATCCATAAATAAAATGACAATAATCAATAACATGCCTCTGAAAGATTGAGGCCACATTAGACTATATTACATACTGTTCTTTTCATATTATCATTATTAAACTATGAGATCTTGTGTGAAGGAAAATCAGGGAATCACCGCATTTTTAGGAAGAAAAACAAAAACACAACACGCTATAAATGTCACCAACAGCATGAAAATCTCTGCTTCAGTTACTAAAGAACATGTCATTTATAGTGTGTATGCACATCTTATCTACATATCCGTGATGGGACGTGACAGTTTAATGTAAAAGATAAGAAAACAATTGTGCAAAGAGAAATTATAAGAAAACTGTTTTTTTTATGGTTGTATGTAAAAATAATTTGTTCTGTTTAGATGATTTAACACTCACTCAGCACCATTTGCTCATGAAAATTAAAATAAGAAAGGGATAAATTAAACCGGAACATTGTATGGCTGGTTTGTTTTGTTTTTTTACATTTTACTTAAGCATTTCAAGATCCCTTATAGGGATTCTGTTCCAGAACATAAAATGTATAAATATATAAAACCTAAAGGGTTACTCCAACCAAAACCCAGTATTTGTAGAAAATTTTTGAGTAACCCTTCCTACTCTGACTCCCCCCACCCCCCAACAAAAAGCAAAAAAAAAAACAAAAAAAAAGAACATACCTCCAATCCACCATCGAGGCCAAGTTCTCCCTGCAGCCCCGATCCAACCCTGCTGCCATCACTCCTCCTTCCTGAAGTTGGAGGAGGAGGACAGGCTGAGAAGAGGATATGGGCAGCACGGAGGAGGAGCCGTTTCTGTAGGTACAGACTACAGGCACCATGACTACTTTAAATCACTTAAGTGGTAATGGTGCTTGGAGTAACCATGTAACAAAAAAGCACAACATCTTTTTCCATAATATCTACTTAAATTGAACTTGTTTACTAAAATTTATATATTTCTCTCCTTAGAATGTGTGCGATGGAGAAACAGATCCTATATTCCCCTTCTAGACATTCTTATTTTATGGTTCTGCACCTCATCTAGGATTAACATGCCATTGTATCGGTGTCCAGTCTTACTTTCTGGCTAAAGTTGGACAATTTTTCCAATGATTCTTGGGTGGCATTTGGCTGGTAAGTATGAATACAACTGAGATATTCCTGCTAGTATGAATAGACAGCTAGTTTGTGAATATCGAGCTCTCAGTTAAAGTCCAGTGATCTTAACAAAAGTAAAATTACTGTCAAGGTCAGAAAATTCTGAAGTAGTTTTGAGAGAAAAAATATGGTCAATAATTTGATAGCCAGTATATTATTATTAATATTTATAAAACACCAACAAGTTCCATAGCACTGTACAATGGGTGGACTAACAGACATGTATTTGTAAGCAGACAAGTTGGACGCACAGGAACAGAGGGATTGAGGGCCCTACTCAATGAGCTTACATGCTAGGGGGAGTGGGGTAATGTGACACAAAAGGTAAGGGTAGTGTATAAAAGTAGGTTGCTAGGATAGTATTCATTGAGGGCTTAGTGTTTTGTTTTGATGACATTTATATATACAGTCAGGTCCATAAATATTGGGACATCTACACAATTCTAATCTTTTTGGCTCTATACACCAACACAATGGGTTTGAAATTAAACAAACAAGATGTGCTTTAACTGCAGACTTTCAGCTTTAATTTAAGGGTATTTACATCCAAATCAGATGACAGTGTAGGAATTACAACAGTTTGTATATGTGCCTCCCACTTTTTAAGGGACCAAAAGTAATGGGACAGATTAACAGTCATAAATCAAACTTTCACTTTTTAATACATGGTTGCAAATCCTTTGCAATCACTTACAGCCTGAAGTCTGGAACGCATAGACATCACCAGACGCTGGGTTTCATCCCTGATGATGCTCTGCCAGGCCTCCACTGCAACTGTCTTCAGTTCCTGCTTGTTCTTGGGGCATTTCCCCTTCAGTTTTGTCTTCATCAAGTGAAATGCATGCTCAATCGGATTCAGGTCAGGTGATTGACTTGGCCATTGCATAACATTCCACTTCTTTCCCTTAAAAAACTCTTTGGTTACTTTTGCAGTATGCTTCGGGTCATTGTCCATCTGCACTGTGAAGCGCCGTCCAATGAGTTCTGAAGCATTTGGCTGAATATGAGCAGATAATATTGCCCGAAACACTTCAGAATTCATCCTGCTGCTTTTGTCAGCAGTCACATCATCAATAAATACAAGAGAACCAGTTCCATTGGCAGCCATACATGCCCATGCCATGACACTACCACCACCATGCTTCACTGATGAGGTGGTATGCTTTGGATCATGAGCAGTTCCTTTCCTTCTCCATACTCTTCTCTTCCCATCACTCTGGTACAAGTTGATCTTGGTCTCATCTGTCCATAGGATGTTGTTCCAGAACTGTGAAGGCTTTTTTTAGATGTTGTTTGGCAAACTCTAATCTGGCCTTCCTGTTTTTGAGGCTCACCAATGGTTTACATCTTGTGGTGAACCCTCTGTATTCACTCTGGTGAAGTCTTCTCTTGATTGTTGACTTTTACACACATACACTTACCTCCTGGAGAGTGTTCTTGATCTGGCCAACTGTTGTGAAGGGTGTTTTCTTCACCAGGGAAAGAATTCTTCGGTCATCCACCACAGTTGTTTTCCGTGGTCTTCCGGGTTTTTTGGTGTTGCTGAGCTCACTGGTGCGTTCTTTATTTTTAAGGATGTTCCAAACAGTTGATTTGGCCCCACCTAATGTTTTTTTTTTATTAATTCTTTATTTTTGGTGCAAAAAGACTTTACAAGCATAGCCGTGTAGCCACGACAACAGACACAGGCAGGTTAATGCAGACACGTTCATGGCATGATACATTTGCACATTTTTGTTAGATAGGAATATAACAGGTTATTATACATTGCTTATTTGAAATAACGTGCTAAGTAGTCAAGCATATCAATAGGTAAACATGAGATTGGTGTTCCGTTTTGTCCGTTTGGTATGATGTTAACATGTTCTGGACCTGAGGTAACCTCCTTAAGTTAACTAACGAGCTATACATTCAATGTACTTAACTAGTTATTCAAGAATACATTTGTGATAGTCTGAACGAGTGATTTATAAGAGAGACCCCCTGGGATCCCCGACATGGGCTAACAAAGACTTGAAACAAAATAACGAGAGTAGGTGTCATCCAATAATGTACTTGGCCAATCGAGGCATATATATATAAAAAAATAAAAATAGAAATAAAATATAGCATTTTCAACTTTGCACACTTTCTATATAGAAATGAGAGCAAGTCACTAATAGGTGAGTTACGCACAGGTTTGTGGTGAATACCATATTGAGTGATGCATTTATATGTAAAATTACATTAGGAATGTTTTCCAATTTGTGTGATTTTAATTGGTGGTGCGATCGCGCTAGCCGCGAATTTAAGTGGCCTTACATGGCAGTAGGCTAATTTGCCAGTCCCATTGTTAAGGGCATAACTTTATTAAAAAGAGAAAAAAAAAATTTATATAAACTTATTAATACCAGTGTAATCGTACAGTAGCCATCTTATCTATATATCTATTATATGCTGAGCTGACCATAGTGACATTTCTTTAGTCAATGCTCTAGATGCCGTGGGCTGGGTCAGTTAATAAGCACTAGACAATAAACATCGACCAACATTTGGGATCGATCTTTGAACTGTGGGACAATGGCTGTCGTTTAAGGAGTGTTATAGGCTGAGTGCCCGGGAGGTCTGTGGGGCAGGCCAAACCACCGTAGCGGTTATGACATATCTCGCTATATACACAACGCTAGACCTAGCAAAGTAAAGTTATTTAAGTTATAAGCCTATTTAGAGGCTTACTAAGTAGATTAGATGACTAATAAACAGAAAATAGCTTAAAATTGCGGGTGGGCAGGCCTGATCATGTAAGTCCAAGCGACAAAGTTCCCTGGGGTCCCCCAGGCATGAGTCTCGTTCCAAGGGCTGGCAGAACCCATGAAAAATAATGGGTGGATAATAAAAAGGTGAGGGAAGAAGAAAAAAAAAAAGGGGGTTTGTGTTGAAGTGTTGTGGCAGCCTCCATGGACTAGGAAAAGGATTGCCCCAGAGCCTGAGATGCAAATGTCTTGAGTCCTGGGGGTTACAAGTTACCCTTGTCTAGCACGGAAATCCAATGTTGCCAGGTGCTGGCAGTGCCAGGATTGGAGCGCGAGCGCCTCTGTTCTGCTTAGGTGGTGACCGCAGCATAGGTGACTGGTGTAGGATTTCGAGGCACAAATGGTGCGCTGTTCGCCGGGTCCCAGCTGGTATTCGGTGTGGAGGGGGCCTGGAGGCCCATTTGGAGGAGTGAGTCCCAGGTTAGGCCCAAGGCCAGTAGCAGCTCTGTTGCGTCTTGTCGGTCATGAATTTGGTGGGTGGTCTCAACCCTTTGCACGAGGAGTATGTGAGGGGACCTCCAGCGGTATGGGATCTTTTGGTGCTGAAGTGTGGCGGTGAGGGGTCGGAGCGATTTGCGCCATGCCAAGGTTCCCCTTGACAAGTCGTTATAAAAGGTGAGTGTTGCATTCTCGAATTTTAAGGGAGTTTTACCTCGGAGGACATTGAGGACCATTGCCTTGTCCCTACCATCCTTAAAGGTCAGTATTGTGTCCCTTGTGCTTGCCACTGGTGCCCCAGTGGGCTTTGGGATCCGGTAAAGGTCTGTGGGTTCGATAGACGTGTTTTGTCCCGGGGGGAGTATGGCTGCCAAGAGGCTTTGGATTTTGTGTGGAAGATCTGCCTCTGGTGGTCCTTCCGGGATCCCCCTGATCTTAATATTGTGTCTCCCTCTCGTGTCTTCTTGGGCATCCAGGCACCGTTCAAGTAGTGTGTGTTTGAGGTGCAGCTCCTGCATGTCACCCTGCAGTGCGATGGTGGTGCGCTGGTGGTTTCGAGAGGAGTCTTCCAGCACGGTAATATGTCCTGTCAGGCCCTGCAGCTCTCCTCTTAATGCAGAGACATCTGTGAGGATATTTTTTTGCAGGTCTGCTAGTAAGGCTTTCAGCACTCTGGTGGTGACTAGGTCGGCATCGGGGTCAGACCTTGGTTTGCCCGGTTTAGGTTTCGCTTTTGGGGCTGGTGTTTGGGGGTATTCCTCGTCAGCTTCCTCTGAGTATTCATCAGAGAAATCCGTGCAGTCCCCGTGGAGCGCCGCCATATTGGCTTCGCTCGGGCCGCATGCTTGCCTCCACATTTCCCCAAATGTGAGCCCAGGGGCTGAATTATCCGGCGATCTTTTCTTGTTTTTGTGACCCATGGAGTCTGCGGGGTTCCTGTGTAGGGTCTGCTTTCAGTGGGGGTAATTTCGGTGGTAGATTAGGCTTGATTTCTCCGTTTGTATTACGGAGCTCCAGAGTTGCGCGACCGTTTGCCTCTGCTGCTCGGCTCCGCCCCCCACACCTAATGTTTTTGCTATCTCTCGGATGCGTTTGTCTTGTTTTTTCAGCCTAATGATGGCTTGCTTCACAGCAACAGATTCCAAATGCAAATTGCACACTTGAAATGAACTCTGGACCTTTTATCTGCTACTTGTAAATGGGATAATTAAGGAATAACACATACCTGGCCATGGAACAGCTGAGCAGCCAATTGTCCCATTACTTTTGGTCCCTTGAAAAGTGGGAGGCACTTATACAAACTTTTGTAATTCCTACACCGTTCACCTGATTTGGCTGTAAATACCCTCAAATCAAAGCTGAAAGTCTGCAGTCTAAGCACATATTGCTCGTTTCATTTCAAATCCATTGTGGTGGTGTATAGCGCCAAAAAAATTAGAATTGTGTCGATGTCCCAATATTTATAGACCTGACTGTATATTTCCACATTTGTGGATCAATAAAACTCTTGGCTCTTGTCAGACTTTTGGTTTATAGTTTATAACAAGATAGTAGAGAAGAATAGATTGACTCCTACTTTAAATGTTATTGAGACTGGTGGCCCTGGGAGGCATCTTACCTTACAGGGTTAAAGCCTTTAAACCTAAAGTTATGTCCCTGGGTGCCTATCAGCATTGTCTTCTCACTCCACTGCGGCCTACTGATCAGGAGGGATTTCAGCCTATCACAAGGCAACATTGTGAGTAACAGTGCTCGCAGTGGGCGGGCAATGAAATATAAACATTAGAGATAAACATTATGTGTATACAATATCCCATATGTATTGTGTTATTTCTAATAGACTGACTTTCCATTTCATGGGAATGAATTCCTCAGTAATCACAATAAACCCATAAAAAATCCAATAACAATGACAATGATAACTGCAATAAAAATCTCTTGTAATTAATTCAATCTGTGCCTTCTGGGTCATAAGTCTGGCAGCCTAAAACTAGACCGAGCTGAATTATTCCCACCAATGAATTCTTTTCTGACATACTTTGAGCTTGGATTTCAGAATGTTTTCCAGTTGATAATCTGTTACTTATCTCTCCTACCATAGATACAGTTTGGGTAGAAGACTGGTATATGTGGTCTCATTCCAGCAAATCCTTAGCATTGAGGAGACATTCTTTCAAAGGTTGCCTTTCATTCGTGTGCATGTGTCCAACCTTGTTATTACTCTCTGAATCTAAAAACATTAGAGATTCTTGATACACAAAGGCTGACCCTAATGAGTCATTCCAGAATTCTGGAGAAACTATAATTCATGGACTTTTAATTAGACTCATACACTAAAACAAACCTCTGTTCATTTGTCCAAAAATGTTATTTTTTTAGTTTATTTTTTTATTTGTGTTGGGCAATTTGGGTTTTATCCATATGGAGTTTCAGTTTGGAAGAACTTTGTTTATGTGATCATTTCTGAAAAAATTTTGACAAACCAAAATGGCTTGAAAATGTGTAATGATGTATAATATATATATGTATATAAATGCACGTGAATCAGGCACTCACTCTTCTGGTCTTGTCCTTGCCTGGGTGCAAATCACTTGTGCCAAAATATAACTATCAAGGAAGGTGCACTCACAGGACTTTGTAAATAAATCTTGAAGTTTTATTGTGAAATTATACACAAGAAAATTTGTTGACGTTTAAGTCCTCTATGGGACATTACCACTGTTTTAATCGCTCCTCCTTTTTCAACTCAATTCATAATTTCTCATTTGATCTTTGAATAAAATCAACATTTGGTGGCTGTCCCCTAACCATTAAACATCATTTTTTTTTTTTCATGGCTGGAGCGCCGAAGCAGAAGACAAACAAAATGTCTCATTCATGCTTCATCTTGTTTATTTTTTGTAAAACACACACTATAAGAGAGCGCACAAAAATATATGTCTAAAGTAACAAGAAGAGAGCCGCTGGCTACACTAGAACCTTACCAAGTTCTGAAAAACATTAAATACAAAAAACAACTAGTATCAGCGTTTAGATAATATTCCCCTTCAAATGATTCTGGGGGGAAAAAATATAAAATAACCAAATAATGAGAGTCCCAAAGTCATTATTAATAACAAAAATGATAAATCCAAAGTAGAGGGGGTATAATATTGATTGCACAGTGTTCTGTATTAGCACTCGTAATTTCTGTAGCAAGTCCAATGGAAACTATGTATGCACCACTCCGCCAGACCTGTTGATATGGCAAATTAGAGTGAAGGAATGCAGATGACTCGCCAAAAATTCCAATGGATATCCATTTGTTTGAAACCAGATGCACAAGTCTACTTTTAATATACAGTATCTCACAAAAGTGAGTACACCCCTCACATTTTTGTAAATATTTTATTATATCTTTTCATGTGACAACACTGAAGAAATGACACTCTGCTACAATGTAAAGTAGTAAGTGTGCAGCCTGTATAACAGTGTAACATTGTTGTTCCCTTAAAATAACTCACACAGACATTAATGTCTAAACCGTTGGCAACAAAAGTGAGTACACCCCTAAGTGAAAATATATAAATTGGGCCCAAAGTGTCAATATTTTGTGTTTAACCCCATTATTTTCAAGTACTGCCTTCACCCTAATGGGCATGGCGTTCACCAGAGTTCACAGGTTGCCAAAGGAGTCCTCTTCCACTCCTCCATGACAACTTCACAGAGCTGGTGGATGTTAGAGACCTTGCACTTCCCCACCTTCCATTTGAGGATGCCCTACAGATGCTCAATAGGGTTTAGGTCTGGAGACATGCTTGGCCAGTCCATCACCTTTACCATCATCTTCTTTAGCAAGGCATTGGTCGTCTTGGAGGTGTGTTTGGGGTCGTTATCATGTTGGAATACTGCCCTGTGGTCCAGTCTCCGAAGGGAGGGGATCATGCTCTGCTTTAGTATGTCACAGTACAAGTTGGCATTCATGGTTCCCTTAATGAACTGTAGCTCTCATGCAGGCCCAGACCATGACACTCCCACAACCATGCTTGACTGTAGGCAAGACACACTTGTCTTTGTACTCCTCACCTGGTTGCTGCCACACACACTTGGCACCATCTAAACCAAATAAGTTTATCTTGGTCTCATCGGACCACAGGACATGGTTCCAGTAATCCATGTCCTTAGTCTGCTTGTCTTCAGCAAACTGTTTGCAGGCTTTCTTGTGCATCATTTTTAGAAGAGGCTTCCTTCTGGGACGACAGCCATGCAGACCAATTTGATGCAGTGTGCGGGGTATGGTAAAGACTGCATTTTCTCTGAAAAGACAGTGTCTGCCATAGTGTCTCCCAGTGTCCCTTAGTGTCTCAGTGTCTGCCATAATGTCTCCCAATGCCCCTTAGTGTCTCAGTGTCTGCCATAATGTCTCCCAGTGTCCCTTAGTGTTTCAGTGTCTGCCATAATATCCCCCACATCCCCTTAGTGTTTCAGTGTCTGCCATAATGTCTCCCAGTGTCCCTTAGTGTCTCATTGTGTGCAATAATATCTCCCAATGTCCCTTAGTGTCTCAGTGTCTGCCATAATGTCTCCCAGTGCCCCTTAGTGTCTCAGTGTCTGCCATAATGTCTCCCAGTGCCCCTTAGTGTCTCAGTGTCTGCCATAATATCTCCCAATGTCCCTTAGTGTCTCAGTGTCTGCCATAATGTCTCCCAGTGCCCCTTAGTGTCTCAGTGTCTCCCAATGTCCCTTAGTGTCTCAGTGTCTGCCATAATGTCTCCCAGTGCCCCTTAGTGTCTCAGTGTCTCCCAATGTCCCTTAGTAACCCTCTTAGTGTCTCAGTGTCTGCCATAATATCTCCCAGTGTCCCTTAGTGTCTCAGTGTCTGCCATAATGTCTCCCAGTGTCCCTTAGTGTCTCAGTGTCTGCCATAATGTCTCCCAGTGTCCCTTAGTGTCTCAGTGTCTGCCATAATGTTTCCCAATGTCCCTTAGTGTCTCAGTGTCTGCCATAATGTCTCCCAGTGTCCCTTAGTGTCTCAGTGTCTGCCATAATGTCTCCCAATGTCCCTTAGTGTCTCAGTGTCTGCCATAATGTCTCCCAGTGCCCCTTAGTGTCTCAGTGTCTGCCATAATATCTCCCAATGTCCCTTAGTGTCCCAGTGTATGTCTCCTTGCAGCCTTTCCCCCATCCCTCACTTCCCTGAGCTGTAGGCTGTCTCTGCAGGGTGGGAGTTGCTGTCTGGACTATTTGTAGCTGCACCCCTGCAGATCAGTGAGTATAGATAGGCAGGGAGGGATATGCTGGAACTTCCTATCCCTATCCCTGCCTGTCTCCACACACTCAGCAACCCCTATTGGCCAGTGCTGGTATTGCATAGTAATCTCTTGTTTATTCTGAGAAAAATACCAGCATTTGTATTGCCAGTATCACTGCAATTGGCACCAGCCAGGCAGCCTCAAATACTGGCTGTGCCAATAAAATAAAAGCCAGGTGGAATACCTAAGAGTAGTGTGTAAAAAAAAAAAAAATTAAAAAATTTTTTTTTTTTTTTTTTAAATCAATGGGCCTATTCCATGAGCCTGGAGCTGCAGCTCCATCAGCCCCTATGTTAATCCGGCCCTGCACACACACAGCAGCCGCACACACACAGCGCCTTCACACACACAGCACCTTCACACACAGCACCCTCACACACACAGCAGTGTGTGTATGTATGTGTATGTGTGTGTGTGTGTATATATATATATATATATATATATATAGCGTGTGTGTTTCTGCTTTAGGGTGCACACCCTTATACAATAGGCTGCGCACGCCTATGTCTGTATGAAAGTGTGTCTGTATGAATGTTTCTATGTATGTGTGTCTGTATGTGTGTATGTCTGTGTGTATGTCTGTCTGTGTGTATGTGTGTGTCTATCTGTATGTCTGCCTGTATGCGTGTCTGTATCTGTGTCTGTGTATATGTATGTATGTGTGTCTGTATGCATGTGTGTGTGCGTGTCTCTTTGTTTATGTGTGTTTGTATGTGTATCTGTGTATCTGTATGTATGTGTGTCTGCATGTGTGTGTAGGTGTGTCTGTATGTATGTGTTTTTGTATGTGTGTTTGTGTGTCTGTATGTGTCTCTGTATATGTGTGTGTGTCTGCATGTGTGTGTGTGGGGGAACGTATGGGGGAGGCAAGGGGTAGACGTATGGGGGCTGGCTAGGGCAATTTTCACATCGGGGCCCCATGGTTTCTAGTTATGCCTCTGGCCTAGGCCATCTTTATGTAGAGCAACAATTCTTATTTTTCAGATCCTCAGAGAGTTCTTTGCCATGAGGTGCCATGTTAAACGTCCAGTGACCAGTATGAGAGCGATAACACCATATTTAACACACCTGCTCCCCATTCACACCTGAGACCTTGTTACACTAACGAGTCACATGACAGAGAGGAGGAAAAATGGCTAATTGGGCCCAATTTGGACATTTCCACTTAGGGGTGTACTCACTTTTGTTTCCAATAGTTTGGACATTAATGGCTGTGTGTTGAGTTATTTTGAGGGGACCGCAAATTTACACTGTTATACAGGTTGTACAGTTACTACTTTACATTGTAGCAGAATGTCATTTCTTCAGTGTTGTCACATGAAAAGATATACTAAAATATTTACAAACTTGTTAGGTGTGTACTCCCTTTTGTGTGATACTGTATGTATTCAGTTTTATCATTATCTGTGAAAGAAGCAGTTGTGTCTGAATCCATTGTCTTGGATTAGTTATTCTCATTAATTCTCTTGCCATATCACTGATTGATCTTCACAACAGCTTCTTGATGCATCCTCATTTCCCCTCTATGAGGATTCTCCATGACTACATATGCAATACTAACATGTTCCTCTCCCTAACCAGCAACACCATCACGTGCAAAAATGTATTACGTTCATAAATGAATAAGTATTTTAATCAACATTGAGAAAAACTGTGCATTAAAAGTATTTTGATTTGAACACATCGACTCTTTATGGACCAAATTTTTTATTTTTTTTGCAAATGTCTATTGGTAAGTGTCTAACCCACCTATTTGTTTTCTCTTACAATATAAGCAGGACTCAAAATTTCCACTCACACTCATGTAAAGATAAAAATGAGGTCCCCCTTGCAAGGCAGCAGGAGGGGACATCATTCTGAATAAGGAACAAGGTAGGAAGAGATAAGAATCCATGGAAAGATCAGGACACTTCGAGAGATGGGAACACATGGGAAGATGGAGACAAAGGAAGACCTAGGGAAAAGTGAAAAGATGGGGACACAGGAAGAACTATGGATACATGGGGAGATAGTGACACATGGAAAGATGAAGACACAGGAAGTAATAAGAGCTTTATTATAAATCCAGACACACCAACAATTTGGAGCTCCTAGAAAAGAGGGACATTTTGGAGGTATGGATACGGGCCCTGAAAAACCACACTGCAAGTAAATCATACCACACCTCCTCGAGATTGTAAGCTCCTTCAAGCATGGTCTTCAACCTTTTGTAACATTTTGTAATTCTCATTTATTGTTAAATTTCCCCCTTTATGAAATTGTAAAGCGTTGTGGAATAAGTCGGCGCTATATAAGTGCCAATAATAATAAACAATGATATTAGTTCATGTGAGAAGTGAATCTGAAGTGGACCAAATTCACTTATTCAAGTGAAGGTAATTGCCATCAAAGTGTGAAGAGTTACATGTAAAATTAAAATACAAGATCTGACCATCTCTAGCAATTAACAAAACTTGTAACAAAATGATCTTGATTAGTTGATGAATAAATCTTCACAATCCAGGCTCTCGTCAGCCAACTATAGACGATTTATGGACAAGAAATCCTTCTGTCCTATCTCACATGTGTTTACATGGAAGTCAATGTCTGGCAAGAGAAAGGGAGATTCCTTTGGATACATCTCCCTGTATTTAGTGCAGCATATTTACAGAATTTACAAACACTGAACTAGCTGGAGTGGACGGGGGAAACACTATCTGTCAGTAAAGGTGAAAGGTTAGAATCCCCCAGAATTCTGTTATAGAGTTATATATGGATATTTAGAGATGAAATGGTCCTTCAAGTTGTTTTTTATTTTTTTTATTTTTTTATTAAGTACCAACATCTCATCCCATGTAAAGCCACAAATAGAAAATGAGACCCAATTATACTTTATTTACATCACGGGAGCAAAAACAGACTTTTCCCAGTGTTGTTCACATTACTATATATGAATTTACTGAACAATTCTTTTTGCTTGTAAGGCTTCTAATTCCATTTTAGATTGCAACTGGGTCCGCACATTATTGTATTCTCAATACAAAACAAAAGACACAAAAACAAGTGATAGAAATGAGTTTTATTTTGTAAAAAGTTATAAAATGAATATTGTACAAAAATAAAGTCTGTAGAACTTTGGTTGTGTAACACAAATGACGGAGACATAAATCGTAGGTGAAAATTAAATTTCATATAAGCAAGAAATTACACCTTCATACTATTAAGAAAAACCAAAATCACAAACTTTACCCTTTTTTGTTAGATGACATGAAATGTATAAAATATAAGGTTCCAGTAAATCTTGTGTAAAATGAATGCAGATTTTATTTATTGATGGGTCTGTAAATGTTTCAGTTGTTTGCAGTTTAAGTGTGCAGTAGCTAATCAGTGATATTTGCAATCATTTCTAAACACTTATGCCATATTTAAACCATAAATAAAAGAACGTGTCTGAATGTTTTTTGTTTTTTTTAGTTAAAATAGATTGAGTCCTGGGCTTTATCTGCCAAGATGTATTCAAGTTTGGCTTCAGTGCTCCTACATAAATTCATTTTTAAAAAAGTGTCATAATTATTTTGCTTGCTAAGCAGCCTGTCAATGACCTGAGTCCATCCCGCCAATCTTTAAACCTAATAGGGTTTGGATGTGTAAAGAACATTAGGTGAATTTCAATGTTCAAACTTGGTGCTAAGCAAGAGAGGTGGCAAGTCACATCCGAGAATAACTTTTGTGACTAGAAAAGGGGTAATCTCTTATATTTTCTATATACAACTCGGTCAGTTCAACATCAGATAAGACAAGTACAGCCTAAAGTATTTTGTGCCAATTCTTACATTGCACTTAATAATTTGAATGTTTAGATTTTTGGGGGTTTTACAATCTATTTCAGAGTGGGGCTCCAGATATGGATATGCTGTGAGACATTACATTTGTGTGAAAAATGTAATACAACAAATGTAAAAGTTGGAATGACGTGCCACACTTGGGAAAAAGCTACAGGAACCAATGCACCTGCCGGTACTCTGGAGAAGAGGTCCTCAACCTCTCAGTAGGTAGAATATAAATGTATGCTTATACTTATTAGCATTCAGAAACATTGCTAATTTCAGAAAAATGCAAACTTTGAGCAGCATAAAACTGCAGTTAAATAAAATAGAGAATGGTGATACATTTCAGGTGTATTGTGACATTATTATTATTTTATTCCTGAATGTATCTTTGCAAACTGAATTTTCTCATCTTTTTATGCAAAAAAAGAAAAAAAGAAATCATGCCTCAATCAATGATAGGTTTATGTGTAATGAGCAATTTGGGTTACATATAAAAATAGCAATTTTCAGCAAACGAGAAGCAATCGCAGTGGAAACGAATGGAATATTCTTGCATATTGCTTCGTTTTTACAGTGTTCTTTACACATAACCATGACTGTTTCTGTGTCTATAGAAAGATTCTGGTTACTGTTACACACAGAAAAAAAAAGGGAAATTCAATTACTTCAGTTTGCAAATCTATTGCATCCAAAGCGAAGCAGACTGCTCAGTATGCAGCTAATGCTTTGTTTATTTTAACTAGACATAAGTAAAGTTTGTCAAAATATAGTAGCTCATTTTTCTAGGCAGTATGTATAGTGTAGCCATACAGAATGAACAGTGAAAGACAAGATTAATGGTGACACTGGATGTAAAAAACATGTTTTAGCTCAGAGCTGGATAACTGCAGTGGATCTGAAGATGTTGGACTGCAAATCCTACCTTTCCTGGACAGCCAATGTTGAAGGCTGCCTGAGGATAATAGCTCTTCTACCTGTCCTAGCTGGTTACTAGTTTTTACAAACTAACAGCTGAAGACCATAAGCACCCTTTTAAATGCGCTCATGTTTGTGGTTGCTTTGTTTAACGGATCACTTTTAAGGGACCCAACCGTGAGGGCCCCTTCTAGGGCAAGTGGACAACATAAAGCTGGATAGTTAGATGCTTAATTAAATCCATACAATAAAGTTTGTTTTTTACATTGTTTCACGTGGATATATTTTTGTCTTATTTCTGTTGGGTAAATGATCAGGGGGCCTGCTATTGTTTGAAGATGTCTAAGCTATAAAATACAGCCTCGTTTGAAGGCTTCACAACTTAAATATAATTAAACTGGAGGCAGGGGGCACATATTAGAAAACAGTCCATGCTGCTGGTTAAAATGTTACGTGCTACATCATTTAGTACTATGACAACCAACTCATTTGGTGTATTGAAATTGATGTAAACATTTGAAGAATTCAGATGTTCTCATCCTTATTTAGTTCAGATATAAAATAAAACATGTTCAGCCATATTTGAACTCAAATTAAATTAAAGAATGCAGATGAATGGATTGTTTAACAGTTTTTCATGTTAAGGTGATTTTCAGCAGATTAAGAGAGTACTGTTTTACGACTCAGAAGTCAACTCAATCTGCTAACGATCACGATGATGATGTGCACGTTTCTTATGTGTGCTTCATGCTAAATATGGATGTTCCTTATTTAACCTTTCAGCTGCTGTAAAAGTTTCCTTGAAAATTAAAGGCAATCAATGTTTCATACAACAGATTATCCCAATGCTTTACCCAATGGCTGCCCATCTGAACAGATTGAAAAATGGCCTCACACCTTTTAAAACCAAGCTGGTGTTGACCATAAAAAAATAAAATAAAAAAAAATAAAAAAAAAAACACAACAAATTTTAGATTTACAGGTTCATACAGCAATCAATGTGCATACACATGTATTTAATGCTAAAGTCAATGGTTTATGTATCACAACAGACAGCTGGAGGTTCAGTCAGACAAACTTGTGTAGCTATTCAGCAAGCAATACAACTCCCATGACTTTAGGCTGGAAATATAAGGATTGCCTGGGCATCACAGAAGTTTAATTTTGATGGCTGGCTCGCAATTTGTGTCTTAAAAGACAAACCATCAGATCGCATGGAATTTTATCTTATGCTCATTTATCCCCTGTATTTCACAAATATCTGTTTGTGAGGTTTGAGAAATAAAGATGATTGTAGAAATCCATATTGAATATACATCTCTATTCTGGAGTGCCTCCATATTGTCTGTCAATCACTACGGGGTGCTTTTTGCACTTAGCAGTCTGTATGGAGAGAGAGCATATGGAAACAAGGAGAAAGAGACTTATTTCTCCTCCCATAATGCTATGTGTACCCTAGCTATGTCAGGGCTGATGTGGGTTGACTACATCTTTAGGAATGAGTTTCAACATTTAGCTTGTCAATTTTCAAATCTAGTAAAAGTTTTGCAATGGAAGAAAACTCAATAGTGATGATGGTCTATAGATAAGATAAACCTGCTGTTAATTAAGTTACATTCTTACCTAACAATCTGAACCGCTGCAAAACCAAGGACCAAATTACTAGTATTTGTCATCTTCAGACTTCCAGGCTGACAACAGGAAATTATGGCATCCCTGGGGAACGTCTGGTAGAAAAGTAAGATGTAATCTAACACATAGGGGATCATGATAACCACTGGTTGTCTATATTAAGTAAGAAACCTTGGTCAGTCCATAAACTTAATAGCAATGTCTTCAGGCAATAATGGAGTTAACTCTGATATTGTGAAAAAATGCATAATTGGAGATATAACAAGATATACCTTTGAACTTTCACAAATGAAAACACGCCAGGTGTAGTAACCATAGTCCTTTAAGTGAACTAAAAATGTTATAGGGCCCTTGACTGGCAAATGATGGCCAATATCTAGAGGAACAGTTTCTAACTCAGTTTTCAAAGCACATCAATAGTCAGTGATTCAGGTATTCCCAATTTTGTTGCAATTGGGACACTGACAAAACCTGGACCGCGGGAAACCACTGATATAGGGGACCACTGCTGTCTATTCCAGTAATAAACTGCATAAAGAGCATGTGAATTCTTCACACTTATTGGACGCAAATTATTCAGCATGTGCAGTGTTTACAAGTTTTAAAAAAAGGTAAAGATTGTGATTCTACAGCTAACAAAACACATCTAGTTTGCTTGCATTTGTCTCAGTTAAATCTCGAGAGCATGCTTCACTTTGGCACCATTGAAGAGAAAGTTTAATAAATAGGAAGAAAAAAAAAATAGTAACATTCATAACTGGACTGTAATAAATAGCAATAACTTAATTATCAATAAATATGCTTTATATATTCATGTATCTGAATGGATGCATGGCATCGAGTAGTCTGCTTGGTCCCGTGGACCAATAACTAATGTATTGTAAAAAAAATTAAAAAGAAAATTAAAATAAAATTAAAAAAAAATTAAAAAAGAGAGAATTAATCTCTGTAAACCAAAATAAGTATGTCCTATATTGTGTAATTGATCTTTTGTCAGTGATGCCAAATCTATGGCTCTCCAGCTATTACGAAGTATAATGTTTTGCTAAGCATCATAGTAAATATCCCTCCTTATACGGAGTGCCAAATATTATGCATCATTGAATTGTTTAAATTAGAACCACATAGGATAATTGGCAACATTGATATTCTTTTCCTAGTGTTTGTTAGCCAATCAGGAAGTCCCAGGAGTGGGTTATTGACATTTGACATGTTCTATTCTCTATATAACTGATCTATAATCCTTTCTTCAATGAGCATGCCGGGACCAATTTGGTACTTGCTAATGGAAATGATGTCAAGGTTTACATTTACCTATAGATAGTTTGTTTATGTCTGGATTGCCCACTATTAGCTATAAAGGGCTATTTTGAATGAACCTATGTAACATGTATTTGTAGTAGCGAATTTTAATAACCCCAAATACAGAACTAATAGATCATGTTTTTAACTGTGTATGTTGTAAAAAAAAATAAAAAAAAAATATATATACGTATATTTATATATTACACATGAAAACCTGACATGCATGATGTATAAATGGTTGTGTTCAAAAGCTGGTTATCGACTTTTCCAATCAACACTGCTGGTGAGCCTTATCATATATTGGTGAAGAACCATCCAACCTTCTAGAGCCACGTCTTAGAGCGGGTTTGCGATTAGTATTCTCTATCTGAATTACCAGTGGACCTGCATTGTAACCCTGTGCTCTGACTCATTTCCAGGGCAAATGCCACAACAGGTTCCAAGGAAGACTCCATGCTCCATCACACTTGGTCCTCTACTCCATCCATATGCTCAAGGAGCCCACAATGGGAATCTTGATCCCTTCCTTTGCATTATTTTAGGAATGAAATGCACACTACCATGTGTTAATCCCAATCGTTCAGATACATCCACATTTCTTAGCGGAATGTTGTTTCAAGGTATGATAAACTAAATTGTCGTCCAAAAATGACAAATCGTCATCATAAGAAATTGGCCTGCAACATGCCTGCTTCACCTTGTCATTTACCAACTTTTTTTTGATTGTAAGATTTTTTACAATTTGGTCATAAGTTGTCTCTGGGTTATTACACGACCCACTGCAGTACCGAAAAATAAGTTCTTCTTTGGTTTGGTAGCCCAAATCCAAGTCTGTTACATTTAAATGTATCTCCCTCAACACACATCCTTTGTTTTTTCGCTTTTTGTCTTTGCCTGTTTTTTTACTGGAATTCTGGATTGCTGTAGAGCCGTGCCTTCCTCTCTCTCGCCTGGAGGGGGTTTGCTTGTTGGACGACCTTCTAAGTCTCTTTATGGTATCTTGAATGAACTCCAGCACATCATCAAATTGATCTGGATAGTCGTCAGGTATTTCAGCTGTATTTTTTTTTTTAAAAAGGAAAAAAAAGGAGAAGAAAAATGAATTGGCAGTTTCTAAAACTAGAAATAACACGTGTCTATTCATTTGTTAATGGAATGAAACAAGCTTAAATCTCAATTTCCCTATATTCCAGTGAAGCATAAAAATAGTTTTTTTTTTCTAAATCCAATGCCACATTCCTTTATTAAAGAGAAATGCACAATGAGGATTAGTAAAAACACACTTATCTCTTTCACACAAACTAGGTACTGGATCCCACTATTGGAACGTAAACCTGTCACAAATCACAAATTCAGATAGGAAGAGAGATACAATCTATACCATGGGCAGTTAAAGCACCAGCCAGTATATGAATTATAACATATACATGCCTTAAAATAGCTTTATGCAAATGTCTTCCACACAATATAGCACACTGGACTTGAACGGGTGGTTACAAAGACAATTGTGAACCTACTCCAATTGTCTCAAAATGCATCCCATAATTCATACAACTGCTAGGGATTGTGGGATGAAACAGCATTATTTGGGGGTTGAACTCTTGCTTGTGCAGCTTCTTATTGCAATATTTGGTTCAGTCTTTACTGATATCTCGATATTAGCAGTGAAGTTCACAAAGGTCAAATTTTATAAAATGCATATTCAGTTATCAAAACATTTACCAGTAATTTAGTCAGCATAATGTATAGATTATATTTAATGCTCTTTAAAGTTTTACCAAGAAATGTTTGTCATGACACGGTCACTTTAAAGGACCAAGTTTCCCATGGCGGTTAGTTTCCTGTGAATGGTGCCGGTAGATGTATACAAAAACATTGATTCATGGGAGCTGGAATTCATATACATGAAATGCCTTTCTGTGCCTTTGATTGCAGATTATATATTACATTAGTAAACATCTCAATAAAAAAAAAGTAAAATAAAGTGTCCCATATAAAAAAAAACTCTAACCCAGGATACGGTAGATTGGAGGAAGACACATAATAAAATGTGCCATCCCTAGCTCCACCAATCTCATCTGCATGTGGACTAAATCTCGCATCACCCATAGTCAAATTCTGGCTGAAGAAAGAGGTATATCTATCCACAACGTTGAGTATTTTATAGATAAATCAGTTTGTACGTCAATGATGAAATACTACTCCAGTACTTTAAGGAAACTGAAGAAGGCCTGCTCAGCCTTTCTGTCCTCATGGTGACATTATGAAAAATGCATATGGCAAGACTCCATTGTCTTTTTATAAAGCACCCCTTCTTACAATAAAATGTATTTTGCTGGACTTGGCATGTTCACGGAGATATCAGATTTGGCTGGGATTAGAGCAGTGTTTATCAACTTTAAAGTGGATTGTAATCCCCCTGAAAAATCTTTGCTTAGAATACTAATATCTGCCTTTATATAGTCAAATATATCTCGTCAACCTAAATGTATCCTTTTCATAATTGGTATTATTTACTAACATGGAAACTCTCAATATGTTACAACAAGAGAATTACAATTTGTAGGCCAAAACAGCCACAATGTAAAATGCCTAATTCAGCTATTTTGTCCCCAAAAAAATTAAATTCCCTTGTCTGTTTCCAAATATTCCCTGTTTAGTGAATAACCTTATTTATGTTGGATAATTCATTAACTTGGTAATGACAGCTGGATTGCCAATATTTTGAAAAATAACAAAGGTGTCTCTAGTCATGTGACAAGTAGTTTCATTCCAGACAAATATGCTGTAGTAATTAGCTTTGTTCATTTTTTTTATATTAATTATTTGCCACAGGGTCTGCTGAGCAGTTGGTGTGTTGCCACCAATTATTGTTTCCCTTTAGATCTCTCCCACACCCCCTTGGATGAAAGTTGGGAAGGTGATAGGTCTACAATCCCCCCATGCACACATCTAGGGGTTAATGGAACAATCCATAATGCCCAGTAGTGTATACTTCCTTGCATGTAATTTTTAAAAAGATGTATAGAAGTTTTCTTAAAACAAATGCACTAAAACAATGTAGTGCAGATATCTGGAGCTAGTAAATTATGCAATTGGAAAACTGAACATAGAGAGGAATCATTAAGAATGGAGTGGATCAAAACCCTTCAGAATAGATTCCATCTCCCTATAATTTCTGATGCTAGAGACCATATATGTTATCTCTTGGACAATCCTTTCAATAAATTAAAGCTACTCTAGACTTTATCCCTTAGTTTATACACCTCCACCATGACATCTTACCAGGCTCTCCTGATTTTAGACCACCTCAACTATGACATCTCACCACAATCTCCTTATTTTAGACCACCCCTACCATGACATCTTACCAGCCTCTCCTGTCGTTAGACCACCCCTACCATGACATCTTACCAGCCTCTCCTGCCGTTAGACCACCCCTACCATGACATCTTACCAGCCTCTCCTGACGTTAGACCACCTCCACCATGACATCTTACCAGGCTCTCCTGATTTTAGACCACCTCAACTATGACATCTTACCAGGCTCTCCTGACTTTAGACCACCCCTACCATGACATCTTACCAGCCTCTCCTGCCGTTAGACCACCCCTACCATGACATCTTACCAGCCTCTCCTGACGTTAGACCACCTCCACCATGACATCTTACCAGGCTCTCCTGACTTTAGACCACCCCTACCATGACATCTTACCAGCCTCTCCTGACTTTAGACCACCCCTACCATGATATCTTAGTAAATAAAATATTGTGGATTGAATTTGACATTGTCTTGATCCTTTTATTACATGACATTTGTTAAAATTGCCAATATTCTGTACTGCATTGCTCATCCACTCAATGAAATGTTTATAAAAAAAATAAATAAAAATAAAAGAGAAGAAGATCAGTAGCAACCCATTTTGCAATCATTCATTTTCCAGCTTAATAAAGTGAAATAATTGTAAACTTATATAGCCGCAATCAATTTTTCCAAACGGTCTCCTCTATATAAAAGGGTATTACAACAAATCTTTGTATGACAAAACAGAAGAAATCTGACGTTTTTTTAGAGGCCTGTTGCATTATTATTATTATTATTATTATTATTATTATTATTATGATAATGGGGCAAGGATAAACAAATTATAAAATACTAACTGCTGTGAGTTACAACACCCTTAATGCTCCTGTTGTACAGTTTCTTTATTTTCTGTGTCACATTCTAGGGACACCAGGGAAAGGTCGCCATAAAGCACAGTGTAAACCCCAGTCACCCCAGTTGTTATCTTTAAGGTGGCCACAAATAATCTTTATCTTATCTGCTTGTATATAACGCCCTGTGTCGGAATCTCTTTTTATTTATTTTTTCCCCTGAGTGCTCTAGTTTAAAAAAAACAAACAAAAAAATAACAAACAAAAACAGGGACTTCTTTTCCTTATGTATAGCAGTCAGGTTGACAAAACTGGACAATAAATGGAGCTTAAAGCAAGGTTCTGTTTCACTTGCCAATCCACAACCCATCAGTAAAGTCAATCCCAAAAAAGAGCAAACAGCAGACACCATGGACAAAGGAAAACAAAATGGCGGTGGCCTATGGACAAGCCTCCACTGGCAATGCCAGGAAAGTCTGCACATAGGTTGCCTAGTTGGTAGTCTCTCGAATATCCAGTTATATGACGCCTCTTACTTTTATTTGTAATAGTCTTTAAGCACTGTATCAGTAGATAAACTAAGGCACTCAGCACTTCTCCTCCACATCTAAAAGGGTCCCTGCTCTATCCACTCATTAAACTGAAATTCACACTTAAGAGAAAAAAATAAATAAATCTTGCCACTGTTTGGCTTCTTTTTTTAAGCACTGTCTGCTTTTTGTCTTGTACAATATTAGTACGTGGAAACCTGTCAATAACATTTTAAAAATAGGTAGATATGTCTAGAAATGGATCATGGCCATTCTTACTGTATACAGATTAACATACTCTTATTAACTGATAGGTCTTTTTAGACATGCCTCTGGTATGTATATCACACAGGAATTGATAGGGATAATTTACAGGACTGTGTGCAGTAACCTGACATCAAGTTTGCAAGTCAAACAAAATCCCTTTTGGGAGTTCAAACAGATCAGCGGACACTTTGCACTTCCCTGTATAAATACAAGTTGGATAATGCATACAAAAGTGCATCACATCCAGAGGTGTAAATGGAAACCACAGGGCCCCGGTGCGGAAATTGCCCTGGGGCACCCCCATACGTCTACCTCCCATACGTCCCAGACACCCCACACAGACATGCAGACACAGACATACACACAGAAACCCCATACATACACAGACATGTAGACACACATACAGACACACAAACATACAGACACATACACTAACACGCACACAAAATGTTTAGGTCACCCTCCTGTTTCCTACCTTTTAGATGCAGGAAGGTGACTTCCCTGGGGTCCAGTGGTGGCTCAGCCTGATGGGAGTCAGAGTTCCCACTCTGACTCCATCCTCTCTTCCTCCCGTGCGCCTCCTGGTGGTTGCTGGGAGGAAGTGAAAGGGGCAGTCACTTTCTCCCTGCGCTCTGACCTCATCACAGGGAGCCCAGTCGCACTGTTAAAGGCCCCCTGGATATTCATTGCCATCGGGTGGCCCTAACAGCATGAGCCACTTGATGGGCCCCTTAACGTGCGGCCCCGGCAGATCTACCGTGCGGCCAGGGCCGCAACACATGGGTTCCGCGGAACACCAATTGGGAAACGCTGCAATAGAAGCATCCCTCACTAAGCAGTTTATGAAAAGCTGGTGTGTTTTTTCTGATACATTTTTCAAACACAACTCAACAACATACTCAGAACTTACAGTAATGTGCGGTGAGTATTGCAGATCTCCATTTCCAAAAAGCTCCCAGTAATGTGTGGTGTGTGAGTGCATGAAAGGTCTCAACAGCTATATAAGTCACAGAAATGCATGGCTAGTGTGACTGTGTCACAGTGCTTCATAGTAATAAAACTCACAGAAATGCCTGGCTAGTATTACTGTATCAGTGCTTCATAGTAATAAAACGTATAGAAATGTGTGGTGTGAATGAGATGTACACAACAACAGAACACACACAATATAATGTGGGCTGGGCTGCAGGTGTGTAGGAACTTACATACAGCATTAAACGGTCTGAAAACAGTTTAACGCTGAACAGAACTACAGTGCCAGAGGATGTATAATGCCTGAAGTGTCTCCAACTTCTCCCAGTTATTTAATTGGATATCAACCAGGTAAATAAAATCACAAAGTCTGGTTATTGCTTTACCTCCTGGCAGTAATTCCTGATATCACAAAAATAAAAGCAGGCTTTGAGCTGTGCCTTTTATCTAATGAGGTTTCCAACTGCAACACTTGTCATTCTAAGCTAGCAGTCGTAGGGGGTGCAGTCTGGCAACAACACAGCTCAGCCAAAGTGTCCTTCTCTGTGTTAGAAGGACCTGTACTTTGCTGCCTCTGGCTATGAAGGGAATGTTTGGTTCATCATCTGAGAATATCTGACTAGATATTTGAATTGTAGGCCCGAAGCCTAAAATAACTCAGAGTATCAGATATCACAGAACATTCAATACAACTACTAGTGTTGCATGTTAGTCCTGCAGGTTTCTCTCAGGTATGCATTAGAAAATTCCAAACTTTCAGGTACTTTCCCAAATTTCCACATGGTACAGCCACGTGATTCTTAACTTCAATTTACCTGAATCGCATAATAAAATAGTGTGTACACAATTCTTTCCACAACAATGCACTGAAAGGAATGTTTTCACATGTACCTCCCAAGTGCAATACCTCCCCCGTGGTACCCAAATCCCTATGTCCCTCTATTCTATTGTCCCCCTTTTCTTGAAGTTCAAAATTTTGGGAGTGTTGGACTGCTTCACAGAGTTCCCAAAATAAAGAGTACTGCAATGTGCCTTAACAAAAATACTTTATAAATTAGTTTTTTTTCAAACAATAGGATTTAAAAATTAATTTTTCAGGAGTTTAAATGGCAGCAGATCATCAGACATTCAGTGTTCTAAAACACACCTTCCTCTGGCGCCAACTCCAGCCACAACCCCTAAAGAAAAATTGCTATTGTCAAATTAAATAGTTGGGATATTTGTTAATGTTTGCAGCTCCATCTCTTGGGGACTTCTGTTGCTACGACGCTCAGCCTGCACATCCTGGCGCTATGCATTTATAAACCCAAGTGATAATCTGCTGAAGAATATTTTCTGCAAACCTCTACACCCCAGAGATTTGAGGAAAAACTGCATTCATGTAATTTTTGTAAAATAATGACAAAACATTTGTTTGTTTTCTGTGGCATAATATTTCTTTGCTGTCTTGGCCTACGCTTTGCCATTTATTTTGGACTTTATTATTTCAAATGTTCTGATATCACTTCAGATTTAAAGCAACACTGAAAGTAACATAACAATTACAGAAGGCTGTAGTGGTTATGGTGCCAAGAGCCCTGGTGCACCCCATTGCTAGGTGTCAAACTATTTTAGAATGGTTTGACCGCTTACTTGGAGTCTGCCAGGCACGATTCCCTGCCTCAACCAATGGCAATGGACAGCCAGATGCTTTTGTTAGCTCTCCTAAGCCAAGCCCTAGTCTAGCTAATCATTGGCTGAGAGTATCAGCACTGACATCATAAATACACTCATGGCACCATAACTACTATTGCAAGATGTAGAGGTTAAGGTGCGTGTAGTGTTCCTTTAACAAGACATTTATCAAGAGGGTATTGCCAATATATGGCTGAAAGGAATCTCTTTGCTTGATAGCAGAAGGGTACATAACAAATGGTTTCTTTAAGTAGATTCAGCAACCATGTTACATTGGTGTTAAAATGTCAGTATGGTGGATGGGCAACAAGTTGTGCTTTATACTAATAAATACTAACAGATAGTCTAAAATGTCGCATTTATTTTCTTTATTATTGCTGTTTAAATTGAAAGCCTTTGTACTGGAGACCATATGCATCATCTATTTTATAAACAGTAACTATCCAAATACTACCCAAATCAGAAACATATTGTGGCATTTCCCAATACCATATGTGATCTGACATGAAATGAAGTATGTCAAGAATGTAAAAAAAAATAAAAAAGATAAAATTTTGACAATTATTTTTGGAACAAGTAAAAATGTTAAAATGTTAAAGGATCACTACTACAGTGTCAGGAAAATAAACTCATTTTCCTGACACTATAGCATCCTTAGGATCCCCCCCCCCTCAAGGCCCCCCTCCTTTGGCGCTGAAGGGGTTAAAGCCCCTTCAGCTACTTATCTTTTTCCAGTGCCGGGCTCCTTCGGCGCTGGTGACCTCTCCTCCCCCGCCGCCAGCTCCCGAGTGCTTTCCTATGGACGTTCTGCACGGTGGATGCGAATTTCGCATCCAGCGTCGCAGATGCACCTCTAGTGGCTGTCAGGAAGACATCCACTAGAGGTTGGGATTAACCCGGCTATGTAAACAAAGCAGTTTACATCTGAAACTGCTATGTTTACATCTGAAGGGTTAAAACCTGGGGGACCTGGCACCCAGATCACTTCATTGAGCTTAAGTGGTCTGGGTGACTATAGTGTCCCTTTAATCTCTTGGGACTGAAGGTGAAAACAAATGTTAAAAGGGCCAATCTGGATCTATGGAGCAAGGTGCCTTTTTATATTTTGCATTCAGCTGGTTAAATCTGAAAGACCCAAGTAAAGGTTTACCAGTTCTGCGTGACTGTATGCTACAGGATGTAGGAAGATGTGAATGAATGTTTCTTGACCTTATGATTTGCGTGTTTACTGTTTTAACACATTGCAAGATGGTCACCATTACTATAGTTACTATAGCAGCAGCAGACAAAAAACAAAAAACAAAACAAAAAAAACTATTGACAAAACTTTATTATAATTTGGATAGCATTTAATTTATTAAACAATTATGGACTTTAATAGGATTAATAAAGGCTGGATGTTGTTTAACATCAAATCTCGATGATGTGTTTATGATTCAGGGCATAGCTTCTCCAAGCTGATAACAATATGACTCAGTTAGTGACAGTATAAGGCATCTAGACAATGTGGGGTCTTCTAAGCAAGGACAGAATGTATTGTGCACCTTTGGAAAAGAGCCCTCGATGAGCTGGCATGTAACGAGGTAATTTCCAGGGCAAGGCAGTGAAGCAGGGTTGGCCCAAGACACCACAATGTAAAGTGGCAATTATTTAAGCCATCCCTAGACAAAGCCCCTCCAGAAAATCGGGTGTTATTTTTAAAACTACATGTTTCACTGTTTAAGACAGATAAGAAAAACAAAACGTGTTAAAAAGTTGGTTATCCTCTTCTACGTATAGAGTCCCTAGTCAGCGGTATATTCACCTCGAGGCTAACAAGGCATTTGCCTTGGGTGGCACTTTCCTGGGGGCGGCAAAAAAAGCCGCCCCTAAACGCCCCAGCAGATGCCTAGTTAGCCTCGTGTCCTGAGGGGCTCAAGAGCTGGCTGGATGGCTACCTTAGAGCACCCCCCAAGGTAGACAGCAGCTCGCATTGCAGGCGGCGAGGGAGCTCTGTATTCTGAGCTCTTCCTGCTCAGCTCCCTTGCGCGCCACTTAGTGATGCCCTGAGCCGGAATATGACGTCAGTCCGGCTCCCAGCATCACAAAGCAGCGCGCAAGGGAACTGAGCAAGAAGGTCAGAGTTCCCTCGCAGTCTACTCTGCCAGTTCGCCCCCTGCTTGCACGTGCACCTGCCCAGCAGCACAAGCTGCCCCTGCAACCCACTGGACCGCAGGTGAGGAATCCACTCCAGCTTTCCCATGGAGGCTGGGTGGAGTTAAATTAAAATAAATAAATATTTGTGAGTTTTGGGGGAAATGTGTATGAGTGTGTGTCTGTCAGTTAACGTGTGTGTGTATGTCGGTGAGTGTGTGTGTCAGTGAGTGTGCGTGTCAATGAATGTCCAGGATGTGACCACAAATACTGGCACCACTGCCTTTCCCAATGTGAAAAGGCAGGGATTGCTGACAGTCACTCCATCAGCTGCCCGTCAGTGAGTGTGTGTGTCTGTCAGTGAGTGTGTCTGTCTGTGTGTCTGCTTAATTGTGTGTGACTGTCAGAATGTGTCAAATCAGTGAGTGTGTCTGTATGTCATTGTATGTCAGTGTATGTGAGTGTGTGTGTCTGTTAGTGAAAGTGTGTGTTGGGTAAACAGTGTGTATGTCAGTGCATGCATCAGTGAGGGAGTCACTGTTAGTCAAAGTGCGTGTGGCCTTGACAGGAAGGGGTGGGGGAAATTTAAATTAGGGTGCCAGCGTTTGTAAATGCCTAGAGCAGCACAAATTCAAAATACACCACTGTTCCTAGTGATAATATATAATTTAAATGGTAGAAAACTGCATGCTCCCTAAGTGTGGCTGGGATTACTAGGAGGTGTCTCCCCAAAGTCTGTTCAGTTCCTACACTCATAAATGAATTAGCTGATCATACAAACACATGCAAAATTAGCTTCACATACAAAACTACCTACTAAACCGCACATAATTAGCCACATGAACACACACATTATAGTCAGGCACACACTGTATACAGCTGTATGCATTCTCTCTCCCTTCTCTTCACCTCCTGCACACCTTTGGTAAAGGAGATAGAGAGTTAAAGTGTTTTATATCAAGCAAGCAGCAGACCTATGCAAAGGGCAGCCGAGCCTTGCCCTTTCTTCTCCTTAGCACGCCGCTCATTATAATCGACAGCAGGTCCAGGATGGGACCACAAATACTGGCACCACTGCCTTTCCCAATGTGAAAAGGCACAGTCACTCCATCAGCTGCCCTGAAATCCCTGGGACCCACTGATATGATACCACTGACCTATAATGGTGGCACAAGGAGTGGAACAATTAGAAAATTAAACACTAAGCTCCACTGGTTACATTGCATTTCATTTACATTTTTGGGTGACAAGGCAGTTTACCTGCAAGAATATTCATTCCTTTTTCAATTCCTATCTAATAATTACAATTTAGGTTTTCTTTTTATTTGACTAATGACTTCAGCATAATTAGCTTCAAACACAGGAAAATATCTAGAATTTCCCTAAATACATGTGGCAAACTCCCCTGTCCTAATGAGTTTGCCACAAGCTCTTGGAGGAGCCTGCTGGCCAGCCTCCTGCTCAAAGACTATGGGCTCTGTAATATGCACTGTAAAAGTCTCCGTTCGTGAATTTGGACTATATGGTTCAGGAACCGAACAGCCGCACGACCCAGAGACCACCCAGGAGCTTGTTAAGCCTAATTGCTACTTTGTAGCAATTTCCACCGCAATGTGTTCGTCTGGGTGGCTGCATTTCCTATGGATGACCACAAGGTGGCGGCCATCTTGTTCACACATACGCAGGCAGCGGTGTTTGGTCGTGGAGTTCATGGAACTAAAAACGGACACAGAAATTCCTGAACACTGCTGGACTTCCAGCTTGTACTCCCAGAACTATGTGTCGTCTGGTTACTGAGATGGGAAAGGGCTAATCGCTAATCACTGTTCCAGTGTGGAGGATTCAACGGGGAAAGTCCTTGTAAGGACTAGAGCTCCCAGGACTGAGTGTTGTCCAGTGTCTGGGGGTGGATAGAGTGAGTTCCCCATTCGGCTCCAGGAGGGAGCGGTTCCAGGACCCCAGTCAAGCCATGGTGACTGTGGGCAGAAGTGCTGCGGTTTGTCCCCTGTTCCAGCTAGGAAGCAGTCCTTAGCAGAGGTACCCAGCCAGGGGTACAGGGAGCTCCGTTACAATACATCAAGGAGAGATGCAGAGAACTACAAACCTCTTTAATAATATAATATAATATATATATAATTCACATTCAAATAACTTTAAATTAAAAACAACATATTTATGTAGCTAATAAAATGTAATGTAATCATCCATAGCTACTGGAGGCTGACAGCATAATGGTGCAATGTAAAAATAATATACTGGAAAAGCATGTCATCTGTACATTTCATAGGAATCCGGAATGTCAAAGCCATATAGAATGTTACACTGAGGCTGTAATTATTGGGGACTTGTCTCTGCTTCTCCCAGAAGTGGGAGATCAAACTCGAGAGGGACCCAAGGATAAGCAAATGGTCTATGACATCCATGTTCAGGGTTTTCTTTGTCGCCCAAATTTGAGAAACTAGAAATTGTGGAGAATTTATAATTAGTCAATATGGGAACAGAGTAGAAGATTTTTATTTTCCAATTTGTCTAATTTGCCTATATTAGCCAGACTTTATCACAGTTTAGTGAACAAATCTTCCATTGTTTTGTAGCGTAGGCTGTGTCAGTAGGCAGATCCATGAATGTAATGCATTCATTGAGCAATTATACAAGCAGGAAATCCAGACACTGACTGCTTCAGCCATGATTAAACATTTCGTGTGTATGGCATGTCAGACATTAAGGGGTTAAATCGTGTTTTCTTATTAAAAAAAAAAAAAATTATTAAAGTATAGTAGTAGGAATAAATTTTCATTTTAAATATTTTGATCCAGTCCAGTAACAAATGCTGATAAATATAGGTGCTATAAAAATAAATTTTTAAAGATACACTCCCGTCACCAAAACCACTTCATATGAACAAAGTGGTTATAGTGCACAGAGCATTCCTTTAACAGAAAACACACAAGAGCCACAGACATCAGCTTGTTGATGCACCCAAAGTAAGCAAAGCTGAAAAGTCATTTGGCGAAACTCTGAAGATGCAATAAAACAATCAGCAAATGGATGTAATTGGGTCTGTGGTTTGTAAACACATTTCTACTGGTTTAGAATTTGGAGAAAGTTTAGAGATCAAACAGCGTGTCAGACTAGAACATTAAATCAGACTTTTTAAATTAGCAGCCAACTGTTAAAACGTGTAAAAAATCCTCATGGAAGGATATAAGCCATAAAACTTAGCCTTTATTAGAATAGATGTATGCAACCAACACAAGCTATTGCCCAGTACATTTGTTGGTGTAGTTTATAATGTATTGACACTGATTGAATTGAAAGGAATGCTTTTATTATATGTGTCTGTTTCTATTTGATACGTATTGTATAGTACATATTAATTGGATATTAAAAAAATATTCAGAACTGTGAGGGTATAATTATAGAAAACAAAAGTTGTATTGAAGGAGTTTGATTAATATCCTAACTGCTGATGTACCCCCTGCAGATAGGATTTACAAAGCACAATGTAAACAGGTGATACATACTATTGATTGAATGGGACATATTACCAAGGTGAGGTCAGGGCAGTCTATGAAATTTAACATCTGTGCTAACTGAAGCCCCCTGCCCCCTCCCCCCCCCAGGCAATTTTTAGGCTTCTTTATTGCAGTGTCTTTGACCTGTTACAGACCAAAAATTCTCCCACATAACAGAAGTGTGAATCATTTGCGATTACAGTGACACGCACGTGCGTGTTTTAAACCATAGATATTTCTCTCTCCCTTCAGAATGATTTGTGATTTATAAGATGCATTATCTTACATTTGTACTAATTGTTGGCTATGTGAGCCAGAGCAGAATGCTATAGACTATGTCCATTGATTACAAGGGGAATGATACTTCTTGAAGGAGTATATTAAATTACACACTGGGTCTTACTCATCCCCCTTGACTCATGGCCAAGGGACTCTTAGAGTTATCTCTCAAATCAGAACAATATGACTAATACGGAATCACATCAGGAATGTAAGGCATTAACCCTTTGTCAGCACAACATTTAACATAAATACAGATCTGTCAGTAGCTAGATATAGAAGAAAATATATCACAGCAAAGCGATAAATATTTTAGAGGCATTCTATTGGTTTCCATGGTGATTGCTCCAAAATAACAATGATTTTAGCTTCATTGCACCCCGGGTTAAGCTTAGGGAACAGAGCATCTGGCTCTCACCGAGCAGTAGTAGAGGCAAGGAACGGCACCCAATGGACCCGAGGTAAGAATTCAATCCACTCTAAAATGGTTCGACTCCTTACAATGTGCGATAGTATTCTAACTGGACACATCATCACCAAAGTGGTTATGGTACTCAGAGTCTTACTTTAATATATTCTTCTAGAACTGATGGTAAATCATTTTTCAGCGATTGAACAATGATTTTCAGTGTTTTGGGTACAAATGAATGCCCCCCCCCCTTTTTTTTTCACAAACACACCTGAAGTTGGCAAGCACAATTAACCCTCTATTAAAGACCCAATCCATCCAGCATGAGACAGAACAAAAGAAAATAAATGTCAGGATATAGAGAGCTAATAAAGGCTGTCAACCTCCCTTCCAACCACGCAGACCTATATTTCCAGTATTATCCAATGATGTTGGATAGAGTCCTATAAAGGTTCATCTTCTACCCAAGGAAATCAATTGCCAAAAACAAAACATAATTTTCTGAGTGCATGAGAGGCAAGTTATCAGTTTGTCCCCCTTCATTCTTCACATAGGAATGGTTAATGGAGTGAAGCTAATTTGTGGTTCTTGGGCCCCTGTCTAGCCCATGGGTTAATCCTGCTAAGTAGAACATAATAAATGAAAATCTTAAAAATGCAGCCCACAGAAGAACCCATGATATCAGTTAGTTGGTTGAATGAAGAATGTTAAGACCAGTTGACTGGCATACCTTAGGCTTGAGAACCCAATGGCTCATCTCATATAGTGCCTTCATTCCATTGCAGCACAGAATCGAGAAGCATAATGTGGCTTCCAAACAGTTATTAACCCTACTGCACACAGGATAAAGTGGTCAGGTAAGATACATATATTTGAGGTCAGACCCTCAAAGTCATTACATGTTTATTGTATATTATGTTGAATCATATCCCTGTTTACACTAGTACAAATACTGTCATGTACTGTATGTGTATTAATACTGGGATTATAGTCATAGAAATTCAATAATTATCCTTTTGGTGGCAGAAATCAAAGGGCATTCACTATATAGAAAGTAAATGTGAGCTCAAGTGAGTTTAATAATTTGGTACATTGACTGTAACCTTGAGATTAGCCATTTTGAGGGTGCTTTTAGCGGTATCTGTACACATGTTTCTCTGGGTACTGTTGCTGAAACTGGCTAGTGGAAACCTGGGAAAATGAACAAACTGCAAATGGTAAATTTGCAGAGAGCGCTAATTTTTGGATGAAATTAATGGAGATGGCTGGAATTTCAGAATGACTGAGCTCTAAGCAGTGTAAATGTGCTGGAAAATAAAATGGATCTCTTTATTAGGCTGGTTACTTTCCAAAACAAATATGACAAAGCACAGAATGTGATTATATATATATATTTCTTGTAAACAGCCACAAAAATATACACATCCAACTGCTTTACAAAAAACCATAGAACTTTCCTTAGAATTACACTTTCTATTGTTCGTGGGGACATCCTATGTCCTGTCAAAGTGCATAGATAGCCCTAGGGTACTTTATTCTGACAACAGATGTTGAGAGCATGAGAAAAAGGAGAAACTATATAGAGCTAAATAAAAAAAATTTCAGAGATTTAGGAGTAATACACCTTGACATATAACTGATAATTAGAATGCAACACAAAAGCAATTTCTTTTTTTTGGACCTTACTGACTATTTGAAACTAGTTATTGGGCAGACTAGATGGGCCGAATGGTTCTTATCTGCCGTCACATTCTATGTTTCTATGTTTCTATCCATAAGTTAAACACCAGAGATAGTGATTTTTTGTGGAGGACCAATGGAAGGCAAATATGTATCAGAGTTCAATCTCCAGCTTATTCCTATTTTTGCCCAGTATGACATGAGCTACAGCCTACTGCACAAAAGATGTTTAAGTAGTTTCTACTTTGTTACACCTGGCACAGACATCCAGAATTGTTGAGATCAATCTTACCAATTAGACAAGCTTTTACAGTTTCTATGTCTCTCCAGAATAAACATTTACATACAGTAACAGCCTAGCTTTGCATAGGTATGTAATTAATATTAAATATGTTGATTGATAATTCTATAGACCATAACATTATATGGAATTAGACTAGATTAATATTGGCCATTGGGGGAAGGATGCCTTGGGGTTAGGGAGATTAATATTTTAAAGACAAAGAAGAGCAGAAGACAATAGGATGTGTGTCCAGAATTTTGGAGGTTGGAAGTCCTAGAGGGATACATAAATAACAATAAAAAAAAAAAAAAAATAGAGCACCGGTAAACTCAGTTGAACATGCAGTCAAGATTGTGGTAAGCCAAGCAAGGCATTTTGAAGATATAAGAAGTAGCTTTTCAAATTTGTTATAGATGGATGAAAGATCTGAAGCTCTTTTGTAAGGATATAGAGAGTGAGGATATAATTAATGAAATAGTTTGAGTTAATTAAGTTTTCTGGCAGGCAGCATCTTATATTTCCAATGAGAGAAAGGTAGTTCACATCTAGTGGGTAGTGACTAATGGCGAGTGGATAAAATATTGGATAAAAGGTTGTTGTAAATAACTTGATAACAATAGGGACCTTTTGTACAGGAGTTTGGGAGGTATTTAGAAAAATGTGTATCATTCTAGATAACAAGAACATGATTTTGCTCTCCAATGTATCTCTAGAGCGAACACAAATTTGGAAACAGAATTTGATGAAGGTATGAACTTGTTTCCTCTAAATATTAAGATATTAAGATGTTGGGGAAAATCCAATTTAGCTTTTGGAATTCTACGATATGGAGTTTCTAAAAAAGTTCAGAACTCTTTCTATAACATGATACAAATTTTTTAAAATATTTGAGAAATTCTCTACCATGACGTTTCAATTATTTGTGTTCTATGAGAGTGATGTTTCTGGTATAAATTGTATTAAATATGAAAATTTAGATACCACTCTATAACACTTGGGGGTAAGTTTACTGCAATAAATCTCACATAATAAGGTGTTATTTATAAACAGCAATTCTGGGCCAACATTCTAAAAAGGGGAGCAATCAGCAGGACCATGGTACCTGCTACACTCCTCATTTCCCACAATATCCCACAATTATTTATGCTTACCCAAATGTCTATCACAGCTAAACGGCAGGCTAGACTTAAACACAAATAAGGAAACAAGAAAGGAAGAAATATCTTTTGAGTAAAAGGTATGTAATGCACAGAACATCTGTACGCCAGCTGCATGTATCGGCAGCTGTAGATAAAGACATGTGTTTAATGTTAATAAAGTATCTTATCTTGTACAGTGCTGATGTAGATTAAAAATTTGCAGCAGTGAGGATGACAGTTTTCACCAGATTTGGGTGAGTGTTTTTTTTAAGTATATTAATACTTGTATAATTCCTTAATGTAAACTGAAGAATACCATCTGGAGGAGTAAATTAAGTCGATTTGTAGAGGATATGCTTTCGACCATGGCTAGATTAACAATCAATAGATGTCTTGTTCTTTTTGTTTGTGCCATAAGAGTGTAATTATCTGCCACGTGGAGCTATGCAATCTACATATACCATAAAGCCCAGCCAATAGAGGACTGCCTGAACCTCATGTCATCTGTCATTCATCAGAAGCTGTATGGCCACATATGGTCTAAGTGTATCTCCAGTGTGGGAGAAAATAACATAAACAATGTTCCTGCCACAAGTTCCAAGAAACTGATACTGACATGAACTGGATTATTGCTCTTAAAGCGGAACTGAACATTGTCATGATTTCTAATATTATGGTAATGGTTACTTTTCCCCTATATTCAACAAGTATGCATTTGTGAGGTGTGAAAAAATAAATAAATGCAGACATCGGCACCTCTTTGTTCTACAACTGGGTGCCTCTATCCTTTCCCCCTGTCAGTCATTGTTATAAGCTCTGTCTTTTACACTTGGCAACCCGCATAGAAAAAAAAATACAAAAAAAGAGGAAATCAAATCAGAATGCCTGAAGTATTTCTATTCCTCCTCCTCATTTGCAGTGTGTGTACCCGGGCTGTGCATGGACTGAGCTGGGTTGTGATGCAATTTGCTTAATATTTAGTATATATATTAAGGGAAACAGGGCACCTCATGAAAAAGGTTAACACTAGTCTGCAATGTTCAAAGCGATGTTTTATTCAGTAGTGTAATTCCAAAGAAGTGAAGGCTTCTCTTTTATGATGGATGTTGAAGCAAAAAAGTACATATCTTTATTCTATGAGAATGACTTGATAACACAATTATCCACAGAGATAATGTATGAGGTGTTTGTGCGTTATTATCCTTACTTTAAACCTTTCATCTACATAGAAATTATGAGGAAAAAACAAGGATGTATTCAGGCAACAGGGTAATAATAATAATAATAATAATAATAATAATAATAATAATAATATATATATATATATATATATATATATATATATATATATAATGTTTTATGTTAGAATTATTTAGAAAACACTTAATCGATTAAATACTCATTCCGATCATCATAGTTCTAGAAACCTGTATCAGAATCTGGACAGGTAATCAGTGATATAGTGCTTCTAATGTCTGGCAGCTGTGCTTCTCAAACTGTGTGAACCCATTTAGTAACATGTTGGCGCCCTGGATCTTTTTCCTGAACTGTACCATTTGCAATAGACAAAATAATCTATTCTAAGTCTTTATGAGAGATCTAGACAAACAAGACATAGTGTGCATACTTTGTATCATTCCACAGACCATCGTCATTCTTTTAAAAGACAAAGGACCACCATTCGATCATCACATATATTTTTTTGGGTCTCCTAGTCCTAGAATTTAGGGCAGCCCAACAAAATCTGCAGAACTGAACACACAAACCTTTGTGAGGTCTATACAGTGAATGATACGGAAGAATCATCAAAGGCTTCAAAATGTTGTGTTCTTCAATGTTTCTTTCATATTACAGATAAAGCTAGAGGCAAAAACAAGAGCAGCTCTGAGATCTGTCACTTGTGCCGAGTAAAGAATATGACATGAAAGATGCCGAGGTCAGAACCCCTTCTGAATGATTAATACAGCTTTGCTTCTCCAGCTCTTTCAGTCACACACACAGTGTGAAAAGGACATTGATTTCGGTTTCCCCTTTGGCTTTAGGGTTGAGTAGAAACTGACTCCTAGCGGTATCACCTGTCCTCTCAGCCAAAAGTGTTAAATAACCACGGAACCTTCTCTTATTGTGCCCATCCTATTGAGAGGCACGCAATACAATGTGGCCAAATACCATCATTATTTACACATTCCCTTTGCTTCTGGAATAAAACTTTGATGTTTAGTGTGTTCCACGGATGAGTTAAAAAAATAAATAAATTAAAAAAAAAAGAAAAACGCACTAAGTAAAACAAATAACTGCTGAAATTATAAAAAAATTTTACAAACAAAAAAAAATGGTATATGGTTTCATTGCTGTTATTGGAATAAAATGCATTATGTTACCATATTTCCAGATCTTATCCTACGTACACTCTAGAATTACTGTCCTATGTGTCTCAATGGAGGGAGACAGATTTGAAGATGAAGTAAAAATTGACTCCTGACGATCAGTAATTTAACAGCTGGAGTACTAATTATAAAGCTCATTTACAAGTCCAAGTGCAATATTTAATATTCAGGAAAAATCTATTATTTTGGTTATTACCAAAATGAACCAGGATGTAACAAAGTCTGACTCAGCATTTAAGATGGAATCCTCCTTTGTCCATTGTGAGCTGTTTGTAGGAATAGGCTCATTATAATTTTAGTTCAGTTGTAGTATAACTAGTCTACTTATGTAAATAGATAAATCTCAGGACTTGGTGAGAGAGTCCCTAGATACAATGGAACCATGAGTATCACCAATCATCTGACTGAAGACCTAGACTAAGGCCAAATGGATCAAAGTTGATTGTTCTGGATAAAAAAAAAAAAATATCTCTTGAATGTAATTTAGGTAACATAGCTGGGTCACTAGACACAACCAAAAGTTATTAAATTAACAGCTGCCCCAAAAAGGTCCACGTGTTGTAAAGGTTTGCTGAGTCAATTAAAATTCTAAAACCAAATGACTATAATGGCCATAGGAAATCGTGCTGGACATTTAATGTTTCTACAAGGTTATGATGTTTTTGTACTAGGTTCCTCCAACAACGTATTATCTCTGGGTTATTTAAACCATACTGGGAGCTCTGTAAATTTACCCCCTAATGAGGCTAAGCAGATGAGAGGTTCTTAGATGTAGTGAGTAAAATCAAAGATTCTACAGAACAATAGTTTCTGCTTAAGTTCTTTATAACCTTGAATTACAATTTACAGTACATTTAAAAATAGAAGACAATCTTTCTATAATTGGTTCCTTTTGAGAGTAAATTTCAAAAGAAGAAAACAAACTGAAATGTATTCTTTTAAATACTAATCTCCCAATAACCATGAAAAAAGCAATCACATTTTTTAGCTATACTGTCAAATGTCAGCTTGTCTTTTTTCATCTGGTTTTAGTCAAATCCTTGAAAGGTTATGTTAAAGTAATCTTGTCTCTGTTTAAAAGCATTATCTAAAAAGAGTAACGCTATGATATAATGCAAAATGATCAAAATATGGAATTAAATAAATTGTCTGTTGGTTATTGGTCAACATGCTGTAATTCACGTCAAGGATTTTGAAAACCTGCCAGTGTATCATAAATAACTTACAGCCCTAACATAGATGTTGCTTTTAATGTAGTAAATTCCCCACAAATTAAATGAACACTATAGTCATCAGAATAACTACAGCTTAATGTAGTTCTGGTGAGTATAGTCAGTTCCTACAGGCTTTTTGATGTAATCACTGTCTTTTCAGAGAAAGATAGTGTTTATATTACAGCCTAGGGATGCCTCCAGTGGCCACTCCTCATATGGCTGCTAGAAGTGCTTCCTGGGGCAGTGCTGTACAGTGTGCAGCACTACCATTCAGTGTCTCCACCCTCCACACTGAACTTTCCTCATAGAGATGCACTGATTCAATGCATCTCTATGAGATGCTGATTGGCCAGGGCTGCATTTGGTTCTGCCCCCAGTGTGCCTCCTTGGCTGAGATAATCTGAATTGACAATCTCAGCCAATCCAATGCTTTCCTATGGGAAGGACAGGATATGGAGAGAGCATTAAAGAGTAAACAATCTAAAAAAAAAACTGTTATATTTAATATTTAGCATAGGCTTAAAAAAAAAAAAAAGAACCTACACATTGATGTTATTCAACTTCAAGATGTTTGTAATTTGTTGTAATTTTTTTATACCTCTACAAGAGACTCGAAGTCCTTGCAGGCATAGCAAGACTGTCCCGCTTTGCAGATTGTATCATTACTTACCAGGATAGTATGCCTTTTTGTTCCACAAGGAATTATGCCTTTATAGGTTAGGATATTTAGAAAATTATGGCTTTCATCTAATTTGGTTTTCAATGGAGAAAGTCAGCCAAAAGCACTCCCCCCAGATCTAGCAATGCAGCTAGGCAAGGGATGCAAGGGGTAATTTGTTGCAGACACCACTTTTACTGTGATATATGAATTGCTGTCGGCCTATAACTTCTGACATATTGTAAATCCCTACGTGTGAATGTTTATAATCACCAGGGGAAATTAGCTCGGCTGTGTATTTTTATGCAAATCGAGAGCACACATACAGCAGGTGGCCAGAACAAGGGAGACTGCAGAGACTAAACTTAATCAAAATTTACCTTACTCATAGAGCACTATTCCTCATATTATTACATTTACCAAGGCAAACAGGTGTTATTTTCAGTGCAAAATTCCAAATAATCAGATACATTCTATAGGTTACCATGGTGATTGCTCCATATTTAGCAATTTGTAACAAAATAGTACTTTGTTTGCTTTGATAAATGTCCTCCATGATTCCTTACACTCAGCCCTGAGCCTGTCCTTAATTCTATTCCTGACTTGTTCTATTCCCTTAACGATCGGTTCCTCTTTTTCCTGGCACGTTATCCATTCTTTTAGTTTTGATTGCAACTCTTGGTGTCATTTTACAGTGTCATAAAAGCTCTGATTTTGTGCACAAATATATCTGTTTAATTTCACACGGAAAGCAGCCATTCACTTTGAATGGTCAATATCGTATAAAAGGAATGGTGCAGGGGGTCAAAGTAACCTCCCTTTCAAAATGCACTATATCATGTATTAAACAAAACAACGACATATGCAAAAATAATTACCAAAAAACAAACTAAAAGGGTAGCTTCAAAGTTTCTACACACTGAATGTAGTCACTTTCTGGTCAACGTCATTGTCATGTTGTAATCGTGTAATCTACACAGTAGAGACATGTTTACCAATGTCTACATTAAGGTTAGTTAATGAGATACTAATATGGCAATAAAACAATTATAAAAACAGAATGTGAAGAATATGGATCCTTACAGTAAATTTGGACATCTTGTTGTGGTGCCAAGTTGGCAGTGGGATCTTCAGGACCTGTTTCATACATCCCCAAAGCTTGGTCCTCTTCGTCCTTTTGAAGTTCTTGTAGCTGAATTATTTTCTTACTAGCTAACCAGTTTGAGGGCAACGGAGTGTTGGACACAGAGTTTAGCAGCAAAATGCAGACAGCCAGAATAGCCCATAACTTCATCTTAGAAAGAATTCCAAGAAAGGGACCTTTGAAATTAAGAAAATTAAAAAAAATAAGCAATCATAATGTAGGCATTCATTGATACATTCAGCACTAGAGTGACTGGCATCTGTGTTTCACGTTAAGAGAATTCGACCAAAACATTTTCTTCTCTTTTTTTTATAACCACTATTTTGCAGACTACTAACCTGTTAAATCCAGATTCACTATGTACATTCCAATGTTTAGAATGCCACCTACCTTCCAATATAGTTTAGTAGTCCTCATTTAGTAGAGATGCTTTATCTAGAGGAAAATATGATAATATGCTCATTGACCACCTTTTAAGGTAGATCCCAATTTAAGAACCTATTCTAAGGAGAATCCCAGATACAGGCACATAATCACATGCTTAGTACTTTGGAATTACACGTTGGAATTAACTTGTAAAGAGGCATGCTTTGAGAGTGTGCACACTATGAAACTGAAAGTATATGTCATTACATACAGTGAGTGATCTCTCTGTTAAAGCTTCAACCAGTCCACATATACATCAAACAGACAGCTTCAGACTGTTTTCTTCAAGTTCACATTGCCCTGTGTAAATTTAACAGGTTGATAACAGCATTGCAAGTACAAAGAAATACTTTAATTCCATTTCTTGGTAATGGTACCTGCTCACAGCTTAACTTGAAGGTGAGTTGGAATTAATGTGCTTTCAGCTTAAATTAACTTGGCATAACAGAGCAGCTCTCACAAAGCTTTAAAAGTGTTTAAATGTCTGGGTAGCGCATTTAAAAAAGACAGCAAACGTGGGTCAGGTGAAAACATTAACCTGTACACTTGCCACATCTGATTTTTCTTGACTACAGATCACAGATGTAAAGGAAAGGGAAGGGGGATCCGATAGTTATGGAATGTATTACCATCTGCTCCAAAAGACAGAGATGTATGATCTCCCATATGTAAAAAGAGTTGCATGAAGAGAGCAGTGCATCTGGCTTTATGTGAACGGATCCATACCATGTCTATCCTTATTTGCGTTGTCTGACCACTGATGTGTCTCATTCCATCAGATGTCTTTTGCTACAGTTCTTAGAACTTTTTGCTGTTTGTTTTCATTTGATTAATATACATAAAATGCTAATCTGTGTGATATTGCTAAAGATATTAACTTTATCCCTAAACATTTTTAGGAATATGTTGGCACAAAGTCCTGTACTTCAAAGAAAAATATCCAGGATCCCTTTAACTCGTTAACCCATCCATCATTGCATATCATCTCCCCATTGCATCCATCTCCCTGTGGCAACCTCACAGCATTTCATAAATGAGTGTTCATACCTTCCTTTCACCATCTATTTGTTCACTTTTACTATAACATTACACTTACATGGTTATCTTTTTAATGATAATTGTCAGAAACTCGAAGTGAATTCAAAGTGAATTCAAATTTCGGAGAAAACGCAGCTGAATAGGAAGCACAATTGACTTGAAGAATTTTTCTAGTTTAGCTATTATGGTCTTATAATTAAAATTCAACTTTAATTCACTTTGAAATCTCAAAAATTCTCACTTTAGTGAATAACCCTGCTAATAACTATTTCCTACGTTCACATCCTCTCTAGAAACCTGCTGCTTCATTCCCATCAGTCTACCATTTCTGGTCAAAAAGGTAATTGATAGATTACTAGGTTTAGTATAAATCAATTATTGTATTTCATCATCCAAGCTTCCATTCCACTAGGCTGAATTAATTGTGCGCTATGAAAAATATATTTGACCCCATGCCAACGTTATCACAAAACAAGTAAGCCAAATATAGAACCCTCAGTTTTTAGAGCACCCAAATACCATGGGGATACATTTTTCATCTGCCAAATATGTGCAGGCCCACAGCTAGGCTGTGCTCATTTTTGGTCAATTCAGTGGACTAGAGCATATTCAGCCGAGAAAAATCGGAAAAAGCAGAGAAAAAGTGATGGATCCTGAGAACTTATATACCTGGAAAAAGAAAAGCTATGAAACTCAATGCAGGGTGGGAGGTGGGAGACCATTTAAAAATGATTGCTTAAAAACATATCCATGTTTCATCCTCCCCTTCCTACAGTTTGACTGCATTATTAGCTGCACAGATGATTTTGAGCTTGCAAACAAAGTCTGCCAGGAGTAAGTTGGAGATCACCTACAAATCACTGCTAGAGGATGACATGTAAAGTTGTGTTCTGATCTGGTACTATCATTGTGTGACATCATGTTTAACTTTCAGTCTACAAGGTAAAAGTGAGCCTGTAATATACTAATTCCCTCTGCTATGTTATTATTGCTGGGTGGATGCATGGTGATTATTTTAGGCAAAAATAGCTGGAATGAAAAAAAAAAAAATGAAGTCAGCAGTCCCACTCTGGCAGTCTGTGACCTTTACTTTGAATTTGTGAGAATTGCCACTTAACTGACTAACCCTGTGATTGTTTAGAAAACACCAATATAACATTTACAGAGGCCAGCAAAAACACAAAATGGCAACTAAATAAAATAAATTACTAATTTAGAATCAAGATCTTTTGGTTTCTATTTATTTCCTCAAATTAGTTGTAGTCTGTTGAACACGTTACCAGCAAAACCTCAGACACAGTGTACAGGTCAGGATCCTTTCACACACAGCCTACTGAATGACTAATTTCACACATTCTCCATACCTATACTTATATAAACACCCAATTTATTCCCAAGGGGTTAATTAAACTCTCATTGGTAAAGCTGGTTGTGGAGTCAGAAAGGTTCACAAAGTCATTGCATGTCTACAAGAACCTAGTAAAAGCAAAGTTTACACTACGAAAATACTCTGTGTGGGAAGCACTCGAAATGTGTATGCAAAGCAGAAATAGAAATTTGTTTTTACTTAATTTAACTCTTTATGTTTAAAAACTAGACCACACACATACACAACAGGATTAGACCAGTTCTTAACACACAGAAAGTCAACAACCAGCGGTCTTCCAACCTCTACGTCCATCCATGTATCCTGCAGCCATTAATGAAAGGCTAGGCAACCTTCGGCACTCCAGATGTTGTGGACTACATCTACCATAATGCTTTGACAGCCATAAAGCTGGCAAATCATCTGGGGAAATGTAGTCCACATCATCTGAAGTGGTTTAGAACATTGATTACCCCTGAATTAGTGAGACATGTACTGAACATCTTTACTTGGGCTTTGTAATTATAGATGTAGAACAAGATACCTGATGTCCCAATTATGTCCAGGACAATTTTATAGTGTGTAGAAATATTCTAGTTTATATTTATGTCTTCACCGAAATCTATAGGATTTGATTAAAATAAGCCAAAGATCAGCTACAGTTGGACACACCTTATGAGGCACTTAAATTTTTTAGCAAAAAACTGTTTTGCCAATTGAAAAAGAACAGCAGTTTTATGATATAAGCAGGATACAATGTTCTTTTCTTGCAATTCCTGACTGTTTAATATTCTCAAATTTGTTTCTATTTATTTCAAGTCACCAAAGCACGCAGACATTAGATGATAGGGAAGATGCTTGTTTTAATAACTATGGAGCACATTAGTGTGATACAAGCTCCCAGCCTGCGAGGGGCATGAAATATGAATGAATGCGGAAATAAGTATCCCCCTGCACGTTTATCCCTTGAAATGGACAGTTAAATACTTGGTCTACCATTCAGATTAGCTTTCCGCTTTGCGTAGCACATTACGTTAGGACAGGGATGTCCAACAGGTAGCCCCTATTTGTTGTAGATCCGTAACTCCCATGTTACTTTGCAAGCCTTAGCTATAGAACAGGGAGGACCAATTGACCCTGAATTTGGGAGTGTCTTGGCACATCTGGCATGCCCCATGTGCATATCTATGGTATTTATTTCCATTTGTTAGAATACAGTGCTACTGAATATGTTGATGTTTCCTAAATAATAATGGCAGGTTGATGAGGTTATTATGAGCAATTATGGGAAAACAGAGCAGTTAGTAGGAGCACTCCATTGGTTTCTTTAGGGATTGCTCTACTTTTACACTTTAGCCTCAGAATTACTCTCTATACAGAATGTATTGTATTTCTAGAATCCAAAATTCAAAGCACAGAAAAATTAATGGAAACAAGCCATAGCTAGGAAATACTGTAGGTCAGGCGTAAGCAAGCTTTAGTATTCCAAATGTTGTGGACTACGTCTCCCATGATGCTTTGCCAGCTTTATGACCATAAGGGAATTATGGGAGATGTAGCCCACAACATCTGGAGTGCCAAAGTTTTCCAAACCCCGACCTACAGTATTTTATGCATTAATGAAAAATGCAATTCTATTTTATTGAGAAAATCGCCTTCCTTATTTAACACTGGTCAACCTTCACACGTTCAGTTTGCGACTCAATACCATGATATTTACAAACACTATAAAACCAATCATTCTTGATTGGCCACCAATACCGAAAATGTATAAAGTATAAACGCTTTATATACCTTGAGAGTTGAGGCACAATCACCATATTTAGACTGATATCCTGAATCTATACTACGGTTACATTTTAATATATCAATATTGCGGTGGATCACTAAGTGGGGTTGATATATCTGAATTTATTTCAACAGTTGCAAAGACACATGTTTACGATGGAAATTGACTGTGGAATGCTAAACTCAATGAGTGTAATGTTAGAAGACAAAATGTTAACACACCATTCTAAATGCGGAACATTTGGTAGAATCATTTCCACAGTAACTTCTCAATTTTGGACCCCTGGTCCAGAATTACTTATAACCCTCATAGGAGTTACAAAAATCTAACTGCTGGTGAAGTAGCAGTTATATTTAGTGAGGACACTGACTAAATCATAATAGTATTTCATACATAAAGTGCAGAGCTTTTAATGATGAAGGACCAGTCACATTGGTTTAAATCTCTATATGGATGGTTCTTTATTTTTTTTTTGCCAGGGAACCAAATTATAAAATGTGCATAACCTTTGTGACTATAGCTGCAAATATTGCTTAGTAACCCATTATTAAAATATAATTAGAATTAACATTAATATATCTTTTACAACACCAATGCATTTGTTTCTTTCCTATGTGAAAGGAATGTCCACTGCAGGGGGCAACAAATTGTCCTACAAGTGCCATTAATTGAGGCCAGTTGCCTGGGGTTTTAAGAACTCTTGTGTTAAAGGGAATATTGCCAGAATCAGGGCTTCATCAACTTACTGTTTCAAACACTAAATATTTATTGCCTTACTTCTTCCAGACATTTCAGGTAATTCATGGCTGGATTCTGAACTATCTGAAGCATGTCAAATCCCAGTCTTTATGGAATGTAGATACAACATGATCTTGGGATAAAATACGAAATAATGACCAATAATATTTTAAATGTAACTAGAGACATTTTAAAAGATATTTAGACCAAACATTGAGTGTAACACCTCTGATTATACTGAACATGTGTGCTTATACGATACAGATATCTAGTCTAGTGCTAAACAGTTGGGGTTATTTTTCCATAAAATTAAGAAATGTGGACGATTCACAAGGGAATGGCAATTTAGGTGAAACCAGCAGAGTTGGAGAATTTTTCCAACTTGGCTAATGTGGCCTTAAAAGTTGAAGTTCCGTTGTCAATTGCCAAAACTCCCGATTTACTGAATGACCCCACGTGTTTGAAACATAAGGTAAACATTTAGAAACATGTGTTAAACCTTTTGAACTTGACACAATGCCAACTCTTGCATGCAGCGGATTCAGACGGGCAGTAATAGTCATGTAGAATACTGTAAATCCTTAGGAATTCATGAGAAACTAGTCTGCATCCTCAATCTTAATTCTCTCTTAGTTATCAGACACAGATCAATAATACTTGTTTTGCCAACAACTCCTTCAGTCTATTCCACTCCCCCATTCCAACCACACCACATTTAGCATAAGAAGGGTCTGGGTCTCCTCCTGATGTGAATTGATGCTAAATCAGTTTCTTCACTTGCTGAGAATCTAGGAAGTTAGACTTTATTTGTGGAACAAGTGATTGCTTATTCCTGACCCCGCTCTCTGTTGAACCCATCAGTGGATGAAATGAAACACACATTGCCTCAATGTACAATAACCTCATTAGCTACAATGCATTGTTACCTGAACAGCTACATTCAATTCTCTTAGAAACTGATATTAGTTCTCAAGGCAGCCAGGGGTGATGTGTTCTTTCATTCTACATAGATCTAGACATGAAAGACTGCTCTGTTTTTCAGTTTAATTATGGAACCAAATAACATGTAGCAGTTTCCACATTTAATTGTATAAGAAATTTAGAAAGTCAAGAAAATTAAAGGGGATCTGTTAACTAAATAGTCAGCAAGTTAAGAAATATAGGGGTGTACCCGCTTAATTGCTACAATTGTAACATGGATTGCAAAATGTAGGCAACGTTAGTGAAACTGTGCATGGTGCTAAACTGAAGATATTTTTTTTGTTCAAAATAGCACTTATTCACTAAATTTTGCAATTTGATTTTCAATGCACTACAAATTGACATTCGGTAAATAAATCCCAACAAGCTACAATAACATTGTACAATTTAGCAAAGTTGGAATTAATAATAATAATAATAATAATAATATTATTTATTTTTTTTACAATCTCTCCTTTAGCTTACATGTTATAAGTTGATTTTTAACTTATCACAATTCAACGTTTAAAGAGATATCACACCCATGTCACAGTTTACCTTTATACCAGAAGACTGATTATTTTGTAATCTGATATTTATAATCTGTAACAGACCAGTAATACTAAAACTTGCATATTATTGTGAATGTATCCCTGACTTGTTACTACAACAAGCAAAGGATCCCTCTAAACTTGTCAGTAAGAATATATTGCATTTTTGTTCTAAAAAAACCCTCCAAACTTTATGCAAAATAAAAGCAAAAGAATTGTAATCTTAATTCATTAACTCTCAATACATTACACGTTAAGTCATTTGTAAAATTATTAAATAAATATCTAGGAGGGAACCAAACTTCAACAAGCTCTGTGTTTTAACTATTTCACTGACAAATAAATAGCTTTGCTTTTTATTAATCTCACTGCCTACAAGATTGTTTATAAACACCTGCATTATAGGTGAGGTTTTGTGACATAATATCATATCCAAGCAATATGTTTAGAGATCACAGATACTTTTGGTTTTCTTAATAACCAAAAATGTGAAATCACAACAACCCTTGGGTGTAGACTGGCCTACATAGTGCAATTCCCCTTGTGAATTCCCCATAATTCTCTGTTAAGTGAATACGCCCCATATACGTTCTAAACACATAACCAAGATACAACATATCGCTACAAAATAGTAAATAGGGTACTGTACCACAAATGATCTGCGATAGCTTTCTAGGAGAGTCTGGCAACGCTGGCAAAGCCCAGTTTCGGCACATAGTCTTTCTGAGAGGGGTCCTGAGAAAGGCACTAGACCACCCCTTAATCCTGGCGACCACCATGATGGAAGTTGTTGCAATCTGCAGAATGTGGCGCTGCAGAGGTCGCCTATAGCTATGTTACTGCTTACCAGGAATCCTCCTAATATGCAAAGAGTTATTAAGGTCCAGTACTCCCAGAGCTGATACACAGTTCCACAAAATGACCACTAGAGGTCAGAGGAGAACATCTCTCTGGACATAATGTTCACTTCATGTGAAATATGCCTGTGATCTATATGTATTATTTAATAACACGCGAGATTATAGAGGATTGCAATGATAGTGTGTTTGTTTGAAAACCCTGCACTGGGACAGAATTTAGTATCTTTAGGAAGCAGTTATATTCAGATTATGGTGATCCAGCAAAAATTAAATAAACACCTACTTTTAAAATATTTTTGGGGTGTACTATGAGAATTTGACTGTGTATGGTTCTATCAAAATACGTGTGATCAGAAAGGACAATACCCTGAGTTACAAACCATTGCTTTTATTTGTTTACTTATTATACTTGATTTAATCAGCAGCTATTCGTGGAAAAGCAATAGTTGCCCAGGTGAATTAAACATTAATGGATCAATTTGGAATTTTAAGAATTAAAACTCTAGTTTTTACATATTACAACTCTCATTACTGTCATCGTGCTTTAACAAACTGGGCGTGAGGAACAATCTTCAAGGATTAAGCATGAAGTTCTCATAGACACTATTTGCAGGTGAACAGCTATGGCAAAGGGAGTTGCACTCGAACAGAGATAGTGATGGGAGTTTCAGTTGTATAGCTGTAGCAGTGTCAAATGCTTTTAAGGCTCAATATTGCAGGACATTTAACTTGATTAGATAAAGGATGGACTGCCTCCCCGACTAAACTATATGTAATTGTTATATATCTCGATTTGTACATACAATTCTAGGTCCATAATGTGAATATGAAATCTACTGGTACGTTTAACTCTGCATCAAGTTTTTACATTATTAGAGTTGCTAACAATAATTCTACCCTAAAATCTGCATGATTGAATATAGATTACATGGGCAGGTCATTCCCAACCCTACTGATATAAATCTTATTACCCATCATTAGATAATGGCTGCAACATACATAATTGGATTGGCACCCCTACATTTTTATGAACGACCCCCGTTCCCCGATATTCAGTCTATCAGAGACAACTGCAGAATATTGCCTGACCTTGGCTGTGCAGACCTTTAAGCCTGGTGATCATCCCGAGAAATGCAAGCTCTTTCGCCAAGCTAAGCATCATGGGAGATGTAGTTCCCAAACATCTGCAGTGCCAAAGTTAGCATCCCTCGCACAGCAGGTCTGCCAAGGTACATCTGGAATACCCTTAGCTGCCACGCAAGTATTCACTCAATGACTTTCCATCGATTTAGAACAATTACACAATATAATCCTTTGAAGTATATGGCTCTCTTATTGCTGTCCTCTAAGAATACTTTACACATTTAATGCCAGATAACCTTAATGACAGCCTAAGGTGTCCAGAACTATGCAATATGTGTTTTAGTGTTCCCAGTGATAAAGACAACTGGACTCCTCAGAAAGTCCCTTGTACTTGTTTAAAAGTCATAACAATAAACATAACAAGCGGTTTATTTTACAGCTCTGCACAGAACGCAGTTTGCTTTTCAGAAGAAATGATCTTTTTGTAATTTAGTAATTTTTTCCCAGCTGCAGATGTTCCAGATTTAGAATTCTGGATTGAGTTTGTCTTCAAAGTAAACTCCACACTAACAACACTTAGCTGCTATTCTGTATCGTTCTATCTGCATCTATGGATTGTACCTAGTAACAGAAGACACCAAGGTCCACACCATTACACCTACCGTCGGTCTGACCTCTTTAGACCCAAGATGGACATGAATCCGACCTCCAGATATTGTGTAACCTTCAGGATGTCCAGGAAGCAGGGAAATAGCTCTACAAGTGTTTTTCTGAGTATATAAGGTGACACAGCATAGGGTGTACAGGTGGAGATGGGGTCCAAGAAGTCTGGTGGCTTACAGACTAAACCTGTAGGAGCTCCTGGTCACCACTGGGAAGGAGCCAGGCTGTGTAAAGGGTATCAGCTGCTAAATTTCTCTTCTATCCAAGATCAGCCTAGGAAGCAGTTAGAGAAATTATGCACAATGTTGGTCTGGATGCTAAAATCCTCCTCAGGAATCTGAGAAACACACACCATCAACAACTGCGGGGAGTCAAATGAAGACATCAGGGCTCCTGTAACAGCAGCTGGCCCAGGGAGATCACACGGAGGAAAAAACAGCTGAGAAGTAAAAACAAGGCTTTGGGGGTGAGCTGAGATCACAAGGCTTGAAGGACTTGTTAGCTAGTGAAAAGCAAGACTTCCTCCTGAAACAGATCTGGACACATAGCAAGGTTAGATCCAAGTGGAATGTGGAGGGTAAGACAGATTACTTCTGCAATCCAAACTTGGGGAGAGCATCCAGCAACTTTGCAAAGTGAGAACAGACTGTTTCCTAATCTTGAGCTCTTGTCCTGCAGGGTCCTGGGCTGGATACACTACTGCTAGCAGAGCCTGCTTTGCCAGTGCACACAGACAGGAGGGCTGATGTGGAGCACTCCATGTGAAACCAGGAATAATTGCCAACTGGAGCAGAACAGGGGATGCTTTTATAGGCTCTCTGGGTGTGACGTGTCTAGTGGTCCTCTCTGATTGGCTGACATGCAAAGAACACATCACGAACCCTTACCCTTCACTATGTCTGAAGATTCCAAATATCTGTTTGGTTAAGTCAGTCTCTATTCTAATATATTTTACACGCTGGATTCCACTGCATCTGTGACACTGTGCACTACATGGGGTTAACAGTAGATTTACATGTTGGATATACTACTAATATTAAAATAATAATATTATTATTATCATTATTATTAATATTATTACTAGTAGTAGTATTTTGGGTAAACCTGACAAATCTGAACACGTTTCATATTTCAGGTTTGCAATATATATAAATATAAAGATGACGAAGCTGTTGTGGATTATAACTACCTTCAACATCAGTCAGCCAGCAGCACATTTGTTTGCAGTCTAAAGGCTGGCTGTGCATGATGAGAATGGCGCCAGGAGCAGTGCCAGAGGCTGTGGAGCTAAGCCTGTACATGTTAACAATTCAGGATGAACAGATGATTTAAATAGAGATTACTGCTGTTGGTTTATGATGGAGGGGGGGGTGGGGGGGGGGAACTCTGTGACTCCAGATATATACAAACATCATTTCTTTGAGTGCACATGGAACTATGCAAATCTCTGTGTTCAAACAGAGGAAAACGTGTTTTTGGTAAAGTGTGCTGTGAATCAGGTACATATTGCATGCAGACTGCAGACAGAATATATCTAAAAGCCATTGGAAGCCCCTGATGCCCATTGTTGAAATACACGAGTGTCCAAAAAGCTGGTTGCATATAAGAATGTGTATAAAGTTGTCCACAATAGTGTACTTTTAGAATCCCCATGGCAAAGATAGGTACTTTTGTTCCAGATGTTTTTGAACTGCATTCAAAGTAATGCTCAGCCTTCAGTGCTCAGACTAGCATCATGGGAAATGTAGTACAGAGACTAGTGGAGTGCCATTGTCAAGGGTCTCTCCCCACTGTTAGAAACCCAGATGCACCTGCTTCCCTTTCTGATTTCATTCCTCCCAAATGTCTAGTGAGCTTGCAATAAATTCTGTCCCTCCACAAATTTCTAGAACAAAAAAAAAAAGGAAACTGTCAGTAATATTATACAAGAGTAAGGAAGGATACTTGTCTTTCAGAAGATGTTCTGCATCAGCTGAGGTCAATTCTTTCCATGTTTTCTGGAGGTTTGAATGGAGAGAGCGAGGTGGTTGGTCCATACTAACTTGGCAAATACAGAGACTGTCCCCAATACCTGCTATGTGTTACTAGCTGCGGCTGCGGACAGTCAATGTAAATATTCTCACATTACATGTCTATATTTATTTCACTGTATGAGCTGGATCTGTATGACCCGGGGCTGAGGTCTCTTTATAGCTCAGAGATCAGTAAACAGAAGCGTGCTCTGAAATTTGCACTGAAATGTACAGCTCTGAGTTAGGACTTCACAGACCACCAGTGTAATATTGTATGCATTTAAAATGTATTTCATAATGTATTCATAGTGAACCTGATTGCATTCTTACTGTAACATCTTCATACACTAAATTGCAGTCTGTTTGTCTATCTATCTGTCTGTCTGTTTGTCTGTCTATCTGTCTATCTATCTGTCTGTCTGTCTATCTCTCTTTATTATTTATCAGATTTTAGATAGTGGCAACACATTTCATAGTATAGCAAAGGTATGAAGTTTCTTACAAATTAATTTGATCCCCTATCAATTCAATGGGCATTCCATTCAGAAATCCAAAGACATTGAAACTGCCCTAGAAAAATGCACAAAGAATTATACATGCGGATCCTCGGACGTACAATAATTTTCTAGGAATTCTACGTCTCTACCATTTCAGAAGCATTTATGATTCCAGATTTCGTTTACATCATATTTATATATATATATATATATATATATATATATATACACACATACTGATCAGGCCAAACATTGAAACCACCGACAGGTGAAGTGAATAACATTGATTATATTGTTACAATAGCACCTGTCTAGAGGTGGGATATATTTGGCAGCAAGTGAACAGTTAGTTCTTGAATTGCATTTGTTGGTAGCAGGACAAATGGGCAAGTGGAAAGATCTGAGTGACTTTGACACACAAACACACACATATACACACATGAAAAACATACACACTGACAGATAACACATAACACATACACACAAATACACATATACAGACACAGATAACACATGCACACATACACACATATAGCTAACACACACATATACATAAAGATCACATTATACATTTTAGCCACCCCCTTGCTTTCATTCCTTTTTGGTTCAGGAGGACATTGCATTTGGCATATGGCATTTGGCTAAGTGTGATGTGTGTCTGGCCCAGGCTCTACATCCTCTCTGGTCTTGGCTCTCAATCTCCCTCTTCTTTGTTTCTCCCCTCTGTCCCATGCGGTTCGTTGGTAAGCAGGGAGGAAGTGACTTGTACTTACTTCCTCCCAGCACTGCGGCTTCTAACAGACCCGGTTGCTCTGTTACTGATCTGCAGCACATGACCCTGATCAAAGATGTCCATCTGGTGGCCGAAGAGGTTCCGAGCCCTGGCTAGTCTTGTGGTGTGTTCCCGTTATACAGTGGTTACTACCTACCAAAAGTGCAAAGAAGGACAAGGGTTGAACTGGCATCAGAGTCATAGGTGCCTGTCTGGTCCGATCTGGTCCGATCACACAGCTACTGTAGCTCAAATTGCTGAAAAACTTTGGTCATGATAGAAAAGTGTCAGAAATTGCTGAAAAACATTGGTCATGATAGAAAAGTGTCAGAACACATAGTGCATTGGAGTTTGCAGTGTATGGTGCTGTGTAACTGCAGGTCCGTCAGAGTGTCCATGATGGTCCCTGTCCACCACCGAAAGTGCCTTCAATGAGCATCAGAACTGCAGCTTGGAGAAATGGAAGAAGTTTGCCTGGTCTGATGAATCGGCTCAAGGAGAAGTCTTTGCATGGCAGATGCTCTGCGCAATTGCCTGTCTCTTGAGTTTAGCTCCACTGAGCTTAAAGGGACACTACAGTCACCAGAACAACTACAGCTTATTGCCTTTGTTCTGGTGAGTAGAATCATTACATTCAGGCTTTTTGCTGTAAACACTGTCTTTTCAGAGAAAATGCAGTGTTTACATGACAGCTTAGTGATAACTTCACTGGCCACTCCTCAGATAGATGTTAGAGATCCTTCCTGGGTCATGGCTGCCTAAAATGCATCCAAATATTCAGTATCTCCACCCTCTGCATGCAGACACTGAACTTTCCTCATAGAGATTCATTGATTCAATACATCTCTATGAGGAGATGCTTATTGGCCAAGGCTGTGTTTGAATTGTGCTGGCTCTGCCCCTAATCTGCCTCTTTGTCAGTCTCAGCCAATCCTACGGGGAAGCATTGTGATTGGATCAGGCTACCACTTCTGCTGATGTCAGCAGGCAGTGGGCAGGTCTACATGAAACATGGACAACGGCTGCAGCTTCAGACTTGAATACAAGTAAGATTTTACTATTTGTAAGGAGTCATGAGGGGACCAGGGTGACTAGATGGTGGTTTTAACACTATAGGATCAGGAATACATGTTTTTCTTCCTGACCCTATAGTGCTACTTTAACAACGAAGAAGTGACAGGACTGGTTATCTGATTGACAGTTAAGGGGTATAACAAGATTAATTTATAAAAGTGGCAAATTTATTGAAATCTGCTCCTTTTTTTTTTTAAATGGAAAAAAGAGAATGCATTTTTCACACATAAAGCACTTCAGCAAGCTAAACTAAGTGTTTGAAGTGTTCCTTTAAATTTGTTTTATTTCAACTTTAAATTGAATTATCTTTAATTTTCACTTTAGAAAATAATCATGTATGTATTTTGTTTCAATGGCAATTCTAGGAGCAAACAGCCATTTTCTTAATTTTACATTTATTGTGTTCCTTTAAATTTGAATTTTTTTCAACTTTAAATTGAGTTAACTTTAATTCTCACTTTAGTAAATAATCCTGTATGTATTATGTTTCAGTGGCAACTCGAGGAACAAAAAGACCTTTTCTTAATTTTATATTCAGTTGTTTAGTAGAAAACATTCCTATTTGTTATCCTTAAATGGGACTGCTGTATTTAGGGATACCAAATGAGTGAGCCATCTACTATCACATACACATTTTCATGCACACACACAATCGTATACAGACACACATAACCACAGACATGCACACATAACCACTGACATGCACTCACTCACTCACAGACATACAGAAACACATAATCATAGACACACACATACATAACCACAGACATGTACACATAACCACAGACCTTCACACAAAAATACACATACTCACAGACAAAAACACTCATAAAGACCGACACATATTCACAGACATACACACATAACCACAGACAGACACACAATCACATACATACTCACAGATTTACACACTCATAAGCATATACACACATATTATAACAGACACACATAAACACAAACACATACACACATAACCACAGATACACACATATACAATCACAGACACACATTATAACAAACATAGACATGCATAACCACAGACATACACAGTATGTATGTCTGTGTGTGTATATGTCAGTATGTATGTCTGTGTGTGTGTGTGTGTATGTCTGTGTGTATGTCAGTATTTATGTCTGTGTGTGTGTGTATCTCAGTATGTATGTCTGTGTGTATGTCAGTATGTCTGTGTGTGTGTATGTCAGTATGTCTGTGTGTATCTGTGTATGTATATATATCTGTGTGTGTGTGTGTATGTCTGTATGTATGTATATCAGTATGTATGTGTATGTATGCCATTATGTATGTATGTCAGTATGTATTTATGTGTTTGTATGTCTGTATGTCAGTTTGTATGTATGTCTGTTTGTCAGTATGTATGTCTGTCTGTATGTATGTGTGTGTCAGTATGTGAGTATGTATGTACAACAGTGTGTGTGTCTGTATGTCAGTGTGTGTGTGTGTGTGTATCTGTATCTGTGTCTATATGTGTGTATGTCTGTTTCAGTATTTGTGTCTGTTAGTATGTGTTTCTTTCTGTGTGTGTGTCTGTGTCCTTTTGTGTCTGTGTGTGTGTATTCCTGTGGGCGGGATTTGGAGGCGGGCACATGGGGGCCCAGACCTTGAGCTCTGTTAGGGGCCCCACAATTTCTGATGGTGGCCCTGGCGATGCCACAACAGTGGTTCTCTCTTTTCAGGTAATTCACGAACAGGGTTTTCCACTAAAGTGTGAAATGTCAGGAATTCAAAGTTAAATTAAAAGCTAAAGATGGGGAACTGGAAGCATAGCCGATTTGGAGAATTTTTCCAGTTTGTCAGTTTTTTCCTAAAATTTGAAATTCTCTTTGCATTCCCAACAATTCTCCTTTTAGTGAATGAACCTGTGAGGAATAAATTGTCACAAATTCACAGTGAATTCAATATAAATTTCAAAGTGTAAAAATTCTCGAAGTGAAACATGTTTTAAATATGCATAGGGATTTGGGAAGAGCACAGGTAACTTTTTTTCTTTGGTTCTTACTGTACGTATTGGGGCTGATGTTACAATGCTGCTGCCCATACCTATTAACGGTTAGGAAGCATGTAGGGGTTTATAAAAAATACCCCTCTCTGTCTCATTAGAGATATCTCTGCCAGAAGCTCAAGGTGAATAGTCAGTGTAGGACCCACCTGAGAGGTTTGCCTTGATGTGGCAGGTGGGAATCCCTCTAATGGCCATTGGAGCAACTAAATAACCTCCATTTGTTTAAATGTACATAGGGATTTGGGAAGAGCACAGGTAACTTCTTTTTTTGGTTTAGGCTATCCTGGCCTAAAAGGTTAAATTTACTTACTCTTAATGTGGTGGTTTCGGTGCATAGACCCTGCCCTTTTTTTCTGGCAGTGTAAAAGACATGTAAGACTGGAAGAGCATTGGAATAGACCAAGATCATCATAGCTGATTATTTTAGAAGAGGTTGAACAGCTGTAGAGAGAAACACTGGATTACAGGTAAGCTTAATTGTGTTTTTGTGTTTTTCTAATTTTACAAAAAGGGTCCAATAATCTAAATCCTTGAAGGAACACACTAAAGATAATAAAACAAATACTAAAAATCTCTCTCTCTCTCTCTCTCTCTATATATATATAACACACACATAAAACCTTAGAGTGTTCATGAATAACCATTTGAGTATGTGAATGAA